GGTAACAAAGCTCAAAGGCTTCATAAAAGACTCTCAAGAAAGACAGGATGCAATACGAATAGTTGGAGGCTCTTGTGTGTTAAGATTTAGGAGGGACTGTATATGGACTTGTTAAATGTTTACTGCATGTCTTGATTAAAGTCTTTTCTTTTAAACAGTTTAGGCTTTCCCTCCCAAAAAGCCTGTGTTTGGTATTTTCTTTTAATAACTATTTAATATCATATTCCCAATTCCGACACTCCGTTGTGGTGTTGGAGAGGATTGTGTTTCTCCACGTTGTGCTCTCGGCACTGCAAGCTGCTCTGCTTTATACGAACTTCCTACCTTGGCACGCGCTGGCAGGGACTTGCCCGGCGCTCAGAGTCTCATTGCTTCTGTGGTTAGGTTCCTCCCAAAATTACAATCTCCTTCCCGGCTTGGAGGCAGCGCCACCGGTCCCGGTTCAGATACCACGCTGTGTGCAATACTGCCCCAACTCTTCTCACCAAAACGTCTCCCTCGTGCGAACTTTATTAACAAGTGTGTATATTATGGATTCCAGCACCAGAAAAGGTCACCTATTGTGCTAGGCATTATTCAGACTTTCCCTGTCCTGTACGGATTCAGCTCTGAATGGATGCTGGCCAGGTCTGGGGTGCGGGGAGGAGGGAAGATGTGACACACAAGCAGAACTGTGGTTTGCAAAAGTTGGTGTCGTGATTTATCCAGGAAGATATTTGTTTGCATTTGGTGCCTTTTAGGACTTTTTTTTTTTTTTTTAATGTGGGTGGAGAGCAGAAATTAAAAGTGAGAGAAAGGAGAAAGGAAAATAAACTGGATTTCTTGTGGGCTTCTCCTGTTTCTCTTCAACTTGCCTGTTGGGGGGAGACAGCGAGAGAAAGGCTGAGTCGCCGTGGTTCTGGTGCCTCCGAAGGCAAACCAGTTTCCTCTCCACCACTCTGGGCATCTGTGTGTTAGCACTCCCTTTCTCCTCTCATGGGCTGAGGATGCTGTCTGCCCCTCCACACAGATCCCAACTCTCCTGTGATTTAAAGAGTCCCAAATCCCGCAAGCCACTGCAGGAGCTTGTGATCCTCAGCAGCTCAGCTTACTCTGAAACCCCAGGTAGAGTGTTGCCAGCTGCCGTTCTCCAGGCAGTGCAGCTCCCTGGGTATAGGCAGGCAGAGCTTCGGGGGCAGCGCGGGGGAAAGCAAAGGAAAGGAGACTAGGAGACGTCCCTTTTCCCATCCCCCTTTGCCTGTGTGTTTGGCTTTCCACTGTTGGGGAGTGGTGTTAATTCTTAAAACACTTGGTGGTAGCTTAAAATCACTGGATGCCGTTTGTGCAGGGAGAGCTGAGATTTGTCACTGTCTCATTTCTTAAATCAAAAAGGACAGTTACTGAGGGGACCAATTTGTATTCCTCTCCAAATTCCCCAGCCGTAAGCAAGCTGATCGGGTGCCGCTAGGTGGCATGCTGAGAGGTAACACGCTCGGTTTTATTTTTAATGTGCTAATTCAAATGGTTAGAAATGATCTTAGTGTACATAGGTGGAGTTCTGTGCGGGCGTTGTATGCGGTTTGTAATCTTACAGGCAAAGTCATTTTGATAAAACAGCGTTGCGGTTAGAAATCCCTAGAGATGCTGACATGTCCATTTAATCTCTGAAGGAAAACACATGGAAAGGGAGAGGAAGGCCGCTCCAAGCTTGATTTAACCACGTGAGTCTTGCAAAAGTATAGCTTACTGCAAAAATTACTAGTAATCAGACATGCTGTCACAAACAGACAGCGAATGTATAAGTATAAAACACTTACACCAGCCCCATCACAGGCCAGACAAAGAAGGTTTCAATGGGAGTTTGTATCCATAGATAATGGCTTAAAGTGGTAATTGATGCCAGCTGCATAAAATCACTAGGAAGGGCTCACCAGCTGCCTCTCTCCTCCAAGAAAAAAGGATGTACTTTTGTATTCCTTCATGAGAATGACAGTCTCTCTCAATTGGTTTTAATTTTCCCCTTTTGTGATCCTGGGGCCTCTGCAAAAGGAGGGACTGTTAGTGGACTGTTAGTGGAGGTGGTGCAGCACATGTGTTGTCGGGAGGAGGTGAGGGACCTTCCGCCCTTGAGGCTGGCTCACACGTCCAAATCCTGGGACGGCTGCCGAAACACCTCCCTCTGCACAGGAGGATCCCTGTTGCAGATTGCAGCCTGCCTTTCCTGTGGCGCATCTGTCCATAAGGAGACCTGTGCGGAAATGGTCTTATCTGGTGACATTTTTGGGTGGGATTTATCTCGCCCTGATGTGAGACACCTGCAAGATTGGTGTCTGGATCTTGGCTCATGACCTCATCTTCCTTTTGTAGTTAGTGGGGAGAAGTAAACACCGGTAGGGTACACATTGTTTGGCCTCTTTCAGATGTCCACATTGGGATGAAATCAATTGTACCCTGGAAAAAACTGTTCCTGAATCTGGAACAGAACAATTTTGGTCTGGCCACCTTTTTTTTTTTATTTTTTAATTATCTTACACCAATTGCTGTACCACAGTGGTACTGCAGACTTCTCCGTGCTGATTAATCCTCATGATAGTTCCTGTCGCCACAAAGTCTTCAGGACTCAGTGCCAGGGAGTTATCGATCCACACTAAGTAAGTGGAGTCCTCCAAAGCCTGGCAAGAATTACTGGATCCATTTATTTTTGTAGGCTGGAATTTGGTGTGGATTGAACTGTAGGAGAGACACTATTTGTGTTGTGGACAAATGCTCAATGACAGCTGAAATAGGAGTTTAGGACCATTATTAGCTTTAGTTAAGGGAGATGCTTGGGGCTGCTGCAGGCCATTGAACAGGTGCTTTGACACAGCCACAAGGAAAAACTGAAAGAGCAGTAACTGCCTGCAGTCTGCTGGGTCTGTGTGCACCTTTTTTTGTTGTTGTTTGTTCTTTGGGGTTTTTTTGGGGTGGGGTTTTTTTTATTTTATTTTTCAGAAATAGATCCTGTCTAAGCGTTATCATTTTGGCTGTTGTTACAGTAGATAAACATGAACAACCTTTAGGACATCCTGCCCATTGTATTGTAAAAGCTATTGTGTTCATGTGCTGAGGGTAGGAAATAATTTTTGTATAAAAAGTCAGTACAAAATAGCAGATTAATCCAATTATACATATTAAACTCTTAGCGATTAAGTCCCAAACCATTAAGTTTAACAAAGCTCCTATTACAGTTTTTTTGCCTAAATTCAAAGTTCAGTGTGATAGTTTCTAGTATAAGCATGTTTGGTTTTTTTTTTTTTTAAATATATAGTCTAAATAAATAAAAAAGTCACACAACAGCAAGGACAACAGAACCAGCTGAGGAAGCACTAAGTTAGCGTTTGGCTTAAAAAGCTGTTCTGATAACGCTTTCTCCCAGGACTGCTGTTCACTGAAAACTTTGATTTACAAGATTATTTTACTGTTTTGTTCAGTGTTCCAGAAATACACAGTATTTTACTTTAAAGATGCGTCATGAGAAGATTTAAGAATAGTTTATCCCTGGTGCATTTTGGGAATTCTCTCATAATGATTTACGAGTAAGCACTGCATCCCACTATTAGTGTATTTGAAATAATTGTTTGCTTTGTAACGTAGAGTGGTTTCTTTTGCTAAAGTCATGTGTACCAGTGTGTATAAATAGTTAATGTATACATCTGCGTATGTCGTGAATAGGATATTTGATTGCTAGCGTGGTACAAATTGCAAGGAAGTTTAAGGCTTAAAATTTTCTCATGTAATCAGCTTTGACATTACAGGATAATCAAAATATGTGCTACCGTTTCCATCAGCCAGCCACCCTAGGGAGCAGAGGTTTCAGTTTCTTCCTGGAATCAATTTAAGGTAGACATTTTCCCCCTGGATATCTAAGGCTAGAAAGTTGTGGAGCAAATGGAGATTGTGCCTAAAGGGGTAAACCAGCTGCCTTTTTATTCATTGCCTGGAGAGGTGCTAGATGAGGGCGCCCGCTGTCTAGGTGTGGTAAGCGAGAGATGAGGAAGTGCGCTGGTGGTGGGATGGCGTCTGCTCCTTCTTCTCTGGTATCTGCTGGCTGCCTGCTCAGACATCACCTGAAAGCGTGTGTGGATCCTTCCATGCAACGTGTCCTGCTGTCGCTTCAAAAATGGATTGTGGGTGTTTTTAAGGAGCGGTTGCATAGCGTTACCCATTTCAGCTCTTTGAAGGGACGACCGCCCTTCACCTGAGCTGCTCTCCGCTTGGCACCTCGCTGAGGCGGGGGGAGCCGGGGGAAATCCTTCCTCCGCCTTTGTGTCCCAGCATCCTGTTTACGGCCCGGGCTCCCGGCCCTCTTTTCCCGATGCACTTGCTCTTCCTCCACAGAGGCAGATGGAGGAGGAGAAAACTTGTGCACGAGGCGAACGCCTTGTCCGCGCAGCGAGGGGAATTCCTGATCTCCACCTCTGCTTTCCTGCGCCAGCCCCGTGCTGGCACTGAGGTGGGACCCTGTGGTCCCCACCGTTGGGGGACCCACCTCGGAGGGCCCGCTTCAGCAGCCGGCTGCGCTGAGCTGCTGTCTGGCATTGAAATAGAACTGGTTGCAATTTTCCAAATAAAGGAAAAAAAAAATGAGGAAGATGGAAATAATACTCCTCTATTGTAAATTCACAGTTTTTTCTGGATTTCTAGTTTTCTGGGTTACGTAGAGTAAAAGCCTGCTAGCTATGTATTTGCTTAAGGTGTTACAAGCATAGGGTTTTTAAACAGATCCTGTCCTGCTCCATCATTGGATGAAGTCCAGTGCATCCTTCATTTGCTTTTTTGCACTACGGAAAACTTGGGAAAGTAAAGGTCAGTTTAAGGTCTCAATAAACAGGATTTTGATGGCATGAACATAGGATGTGTTTACTGAGCATGATGCTGGTATAAATTGAACTTTTTAAAAATCTACTAGTGTGAAAGAGAAGAGGAAGTGAATAATGCACGTGGTATATTAAACATATGTTTTTTGTTTTTTTTTTCCAAAGGACGAAGAAGAAGAAATCAAACTGGAGATTAATATGCTAAAGAAATATTCTCATCATAGAAATATTGCAACTTATTATGGTGCTTTCATTAAGAAAAGTCCTCCAGGACATGACGACCAACTGTGGGTAAGCAGATATTTCTCAAGCATGTTGATAAGTCTTTCCCTTTTGGATATAGTTTGAGGATGACAGAAATATCACATTATGGAAAGACAGAATTTGGTGCTTGCCTGAACAGATAGATAAGTGAGTCACATAGGCTAATCATGCATCCTTAAGAGGATGGCTGAACCAAGATTTGCTATTAGCAATGGATTTGCTCTTTAAGTAACTTTTCCCCCCCATTTCCCAGATGGATAGTAACATGTTTCATGGGAACAAGTCAGATGAGCTGAGCAGCAAGAATGTGTGGCTGTAAAAGAAAGCTGCACTTGAGAATTGTACCCATTACATTTCTCATCCCACCTCATCTGCACCCTCTAGAGGATTGAAGTTGGGGTTTGAAATGGCAGGGTACAGATATCAGTGCATGTTCTTCCATAAATAAATGGGAGTTAAAGAATAAAATGTGTTGCAATGGTGTGATCAGTTTGACTCCTTCAGCATTGGATGTGCTCTTCTTACTCCTGTTGCTGCTAATGCATTTTGCATAGCTGAGCAAGTCCAGATTCCCAGCATTAAATTACAGTGATTAAATCGGTCCTTGAAAATGTGGTAACTAATGTGAGACATATTCCATATATGTCTGACACACATTGGAGACGTTTGGTTTGAATCCATTTTCTAGGCAGAGATGTAAAATAAATGATACTCTCTGCTTCATGAGGGTTTCCCAAATCAATGCTGCAGCCTGATTATTTTGCTTCGCTAGGCAGCTGGGAACTGTGTTTAATGTTGGTTGTATGCTGGTATTTGTTTTGCAGCTTGTTATGGAGTTTTGTGGAGCAGGCTCTATCACTGACCTTGTGAAGAACACAAAAGGGAATACTCTGAAAGAAGACTGGATAGCATATATCTCCAGAGAGATTCTCCGGGTAAGGAAAATAGTCTGCTCCACCTGAAAACACAGAAACAGTCTTACAGAGATGTAGCCTAGCTTGAGGTTCTGCAAGAAGCTGTTTCTGATCAATCCCGTAAGCCATGACATCACTTGGAGAGTGCGTAGGAGCAGATAGATGTCTGCTCCCCATCATTTAACTCGGTGTGAGTTGTACCGTATTGTAACAGCAGCCCTCCAGAAAATAGCAATTTTTAGTCATGAGCAGCCAGCGGAAGAACCAGTGACCTTACCTGTTGTAGAAGCTGTGAAACAGCGCCCATAAGACACTGGTTTTGAGAAGCCTGAGGTTGTAACAGTGTCATAACACAATAGGGTGCGGAATGGGCTTTTCCAAATGTGCTTGCAGCCGTCTTTCTCTGCTCCTAATCAAGTCTGTGGAGGAAGGGAGTTGTTGGCTCAGACCAGCAGTCAGGACTTCTGTGCTGCGATGTGCTTGCATACTGTATATTCCTGCAGTCTATCTAGAGCAAGCAGCTACGTCGTATGCGGTTGTGTGCTGTGGAGTGCTAGCAGACGGCGCTGCAGAAGTTTCTCAGGGAGAGGGATGCCACTTACCAGCTTTTCTAAAACTGAAGCTCTAACTAATTACTCTTCATACTTAATTTCCAGTTGGTACAGTTTAAGTGCTTTTTGAATTGGCATTTGTTTGCTACGCTAAGTAAATCCGGTATGGTTTTCCTTGTGCTTCTTTGTAAAACAAATTGCCTCCTACCCATACCACTACACAGTATGTTTGTTCAATTGCCTCATCATAAATGAAGTTCTGAAGGGCTTTATGTTAAAGGAAACCACCACTGGCTCTTGCATAAATCAATGCTGCCGTTGTCTGTGTTACACATTTGCTCTGCCTCGGTGATTTTTAAGATGGTGAGGGAGGGCAACGTACGATTCTGGTCTCTTGCTCTAATTCCAAATGCTAGGAGAGAGTCCGGGCTGGCACATTTTAAGTTGTTTACGAGGGAGAAGAAAAGTTGAATACCTGCTGGTGGTTGTATTTCAGATCAAATGGATAGCATGCTTTAATATGAGGAAAGTTAACTTCTGCAGGACTGATCTTATGCTTGATTTGAGAACTGCGTGACCTTGGAGGTATTGCATGCTATGTTGCATTCATCCTAGGTCCTCCTTAGGTAAAGTAGTCATGCTCGCTGAGAAGACGAAAAAATTATTTACCTCGGAAAAGAGTTAGGTGAAAGCTATTTTCTCATTCCTGTGAGAGATTTGCAAAAAGAGCCTTAATTGCTTGCTAGCAGGAACTGGAATATCTGGAAAAAAGGAATGCTAAACTCACATTGCTATGAGACATTGCAAAACCTGATTCGACACTGAGTTTGTCAGAGACGGAGGAGAGAGATTGTGTAACAGAAGGTTAAAATGAGCTAAAGTGCCAAAGATTGGTGCAGGTGGAGACACAGGTGAGGGTCATCCCAGTGGATCCCTGTGTGGTTGGAGGCGCCTGGGGACTGCAGGAGAATGGAGACGTGCCCCCCTGTCTCCTCCCCACCCTTTGCAAACCCAAATGTGTTTTTTCAGTAAGGTTAGATGGTACTCTGGAGAGAACAGATGATTATCTCTCTGGCTGGGTCGGCATAGCAGAAGGCTTTAAAAAGTATCCTGTGTGAAGCTGTGGAAAAGCCTTCATTCCTGTGGCCACACTTAGCATTAGCAGCCAGCGAAGGGTCTCGGGGACATCAGCCGTTCACTTGATGCGCTTGTGACATGTGTGGGGAGGAGCTGTGGACGGTGGTTTTTTTGTCACACTCATTAACTGTTTTAAAAAAAGAAAATAGCCCAATGGTTATGTAGGCAAACTGGTAAATGACCATTTAATGAAGAACATGTGTTAGGAAATATTTCTCTACAGCAACCACTACTCTCTTAACCTCTTGCAGCTGTAAAGGTTCTATTTCTTTATTTTTCATAAAATATTAAAAGCCTATGAGGGCAACACAAACAGGCAAGATGATCCCACCGGAGACTACAATTTTCCGAGCAGAGAGCTGAGGAGAAACCAAAATACAGGCAGTTGCTAAGAGGGTTGCCTGTTGTTCTCCCAATTACATTAGAGAGTAAAATGCAACATATGTCTTCCTCAGCCCTCTCTCCACATGGCTAACGCTTTAGGGCATGCATCCAGGTGCTGTCTCAACAAAAAGCACCGTATGCCAGGAGGTTTTGTTTCCTTTGGAAAGTATAAAGCTCATGCTTTTTTTTTTTCTTTTTTTCTTTTGCATGTTTTTTTTTTCCTGAGGAACAATTATCTGGCTTCATATTTATGGAGGCTAGAGAAGAGAACTGCAGCTTTGCAGCAGAGCTTTTGTTTGTCGTCACTCATCCCTCGCCCTCAAACATAACTGCCAGTCCATCACCCTCCCACCCCCTTCTCGGGGGTGCATATATGCATGCTGATGCTGCCTCCTTTCTCCCTCCACTCCCCTTCTTGGACTAAATTCTGGGTCACCCTGTGTGTGTCAGATATCAGTGACGTACACTGACACTGATGTCATTTACAGTGTCATTGCATGGAGACTTTCTGGGAGCTGAACTTTATTCACGCGATAGCTGAAAGGTGTTTGCACAGTGCAGATGTTGGGCTGTATTTAGGTGCAGCGTGTGCATGACCTGGGGCCTGTGTCTCTGCTCCGTTACCAAAAGCTGTGCGGGCGGTGTGCTGCTACGAGGCTCCTGCGGGTCCCATTGCACCCAGCTGCTGAGCAAGAGCCTGAGACCCAGTGCTATGGGCTTTGGGGGTGCTGAGTACGGGTAGTCTGTTGCTAAGCCAAGAGGCTAACTCTGAGCGTCCTCTCCTTCCTCTCCTCTTCTTAATGCAGGGGTTGGCGCATCTTCATGCCCATCATGTGATTCACAGGGATATCAAAGGGCAAAATGTGTTGTTAACAGAGAACGCAGAAGTGAAACTCGGTAAGTAGGCACACACGTCCACTTCCTCATTCATTCAACCTTTGTTTTCTGATGTTCCCAAACTGATTTTATCCTCTAAGAGCCCTGCGACATGTTGTGTATCATGTGCACTCTGTCACTGCTCCCGTGTGAATCGAGGCCCTGTACGTATTTCCTCTTGCTTTGGGAGGATGGCATGCATTTTATTAGAAGATGTTGGCTTTCATGCCGGAATCGGTGAGGGGACTGTTTTGTGCCCACCACCGAGCAGTGCGTGACTTTGGTTTGTTCTGATTCCCTTTATTCTGGACTCAGGAAGTGATGGGAGTCACTCTTTTATTTGGCTTTAATTAAAATAGCACCTGCTGTGCAGGTTCTGGACACAAAAATACAATCTGGACGGCACACTCAAGGGAGCTGTGGCATCAAGTTCAAAACGCAGTTCCAGCTCTGGCATGCCTGCTGAAAATCGTGCTCATCCCTGGCCTCTTCTCTCCCTTTCAAGTGGACAAACTTTTTTTCCTTCTCTCTAATCTGTCTCTTCCAGTTTCCGCACACTTTAACTTTCTGTGTTTGTATCACGCTACATTCGCCACCTTTTTTTGGTTAAATATAGAGCCATGCTGAAGCCCTCCCACCCAGCCCACATCCCTTCTGTTTTGCATTACACCTTCCTGCAGCACGAGGCATGGGAAGATGTCCCGGCTGCTGGAGGAGGAAGCTCTCGGGAGAGCTTTCCTCCTTTTGGTCCAAAGTGGAGCACGGTAGCTCCCAAACTGTTGCTCCCACTGAGCTCGTCTACACCAGTTCGTCAGTGTCGCTCAGATGACGGATGCAGTGAAGCTGACACAGCCCTCCTAGAGCAGATGCAGTTACTGGTATAGAAAGGCATATATCACTGTTGTCGTGAGTGGGAGAACTGAAGGGAGGACAACACCCTTGTAATGTAATCGCTCTGTAATGAAATGGGCATCTCTTTTGCAACGCGTGTGCGTATGTGCTCAAAGTTGGCACCTCTTGAATAATCCTCATCTTTAGCTCCTATCGGCACATCTGCTCTGTGCATTAGAGCAGAGAGCAGTTCGCTGAGCAACAGATTATTTTTGCTGTCCGATTGTAGAGCAGAAAAGGTGGACAGCTGAAAAGGAGACGTGTTCACGTGTATGGTTTTCCCATAGCATGAGAGGTACCTTTGGGAAGCAGCTCCTTCTCTATAGGCAAAGGTGCTTGGCTTCACCAAATTGGGAAGGGAATAGCCCTTCCTCAGCCTCCCAGGCAGTATTTTTGCAGCTGTACGTTCCCTTCTGTACAGGCAGGCCGGTGAGAGATGCAGGAGAGGTGGTCGTACGCTGCCGTGTCTCTTGATGCTTGTGGCCCAAGCATGTTGCATGTGAACCACAAGGGCTCGGCTGCCTCAGCATTAATCATCATATTTCTCCTCAGCATGGTCCTCCCACGTGGAACATCCACAGGGCTTTATTTCCAAATCACCTTACAGAAGTAATCACTGCATTATTTTTACTCTCTTATTTTATTTTACTCTTTTCCCACCCGCAGTGGATTTTGGTGTGAGCGCTCAGCTGGACAGGACAGTTGGCAGGAGAAACACTTTTATTGGAACTCCATACTGGATGGCTCCAGAAGTTATTGCCTGTGATGAAAATCCAGATGCTACGTATGATTACAGAGTAAGAGAGTCCTGTTGACAGAAAAAAACCCACCCCAACATACAAAAAACCCTACACTTGCAGTATGAACATCTGTGAACGATGGCAGTTTTTGAGACTTCTTATGCTTTCTAGGAGTAATGTTATTTTGTGTGGGTATGTTCTTACTACAGGAGTACAAGGTATGGGTACTGCCAAATTGTGACCTTTAACAGTTGCCGTTACTTGTATTATCATAGCTTCGAGACATAAGGAGTAGGACTTCAGTGTGCTGTAGGTGCTCAGAGAAGGCAAAAAAGAGTTTAACTGGAAACGCTCGTGTTCTCAATTTGTATAATGATTGTACTTTAAATTGTGTTAGACTATGTCCCAGTTATTGTAATAACCCAGAACAATGCATTTTAGGTGTTGCCTTAAATAGAACCACCGTCTGGAGAGCCAGTGAAGTACAGAAGGAGCTCTTTAAACCATGTCTATTCCTGATTTCAAGATACATATACATGTTGATAAAAATTTATCTGTCGCAACATTTTTCAACAAAGATAATTTTTTACATCGTTTGCTGCAAACCAAAGATTAAATTACTGCGAAACCATAATTGGCTTGATGATATTTGCAGTACCCTTAAGAATATTATGTATGTGTATTTAAGGTTAAATTTCTCTAGTGAAAGCATCCTGTAATCTTAAAAGTTCTTCTCAGCTTGCTTTAATGAAAGCACAAGGAAAGAAAAAAAAGTGAAAATACACTTTTTAAAAAATCTTCACTTAGACTAATGCAGTTGTTCCAACTTTTAACCAAGAAGGGCAACAAAGATATCAGAAAGCCTGTGATTAAGGCCTTACAATGAATTTTAGAGCTGAATATCAGTTATATCTATTTGCTGAGATTGATAGTGGTGTTGGCTATCAGTACGTTTGTGTATGTCTAAATCTATTTAAAAAACCCAGATTATTTGAATTGGTGTTTTTGTACCTTTTGACTAAGATTGATCAGATTGATCCTATTTCTCTTGATTTAATCGGTTTTTACACCCATCAGTTCATTTTACGAAAGGTAATGTTTTATATCTTTGCAGATGGAGTTATTAGGAAGGAAGGGTGGCTATTAAATGATCTAATAAAGGAGAAAAACTCTGCAATATTTGTTAATGCAGTAGTGATGTGAAAAATACCACTTACTCTGAAAACACCTGTTTATTGTTCCTGGTGGAGCCTGTAGGGCTCTCTCCCCCAAAAAATTTGTGGTTGAAAGATTTTGTAAGATCATGAGTCTGTGCAGTTTAGCTTAAATGGCTGGATTGGACCAAGAGAAAAGATTGCCTTGCTGGGTCTGAAAATACAAGCTTTAGAAATGCTTCTCTGCTTGTAGTACAAGAAGAGCTTATTTGCTCATTAGTTTTGACTAATTTTTTAAAAAGTCATTATTGTGACCAGAGATGAAGACTGCTTTGCTCAAGAACAGCTCTCTTTCAGCAGTCTCCTCCGGTGTTTTGCCCCTTAAGCTGCAGCAGTCTCTGGAGTTGGTTCCTCGCCAGGACTCTTCCAGCTCTTGGCTGTGTGTGACCCTCCTGGCTCTCGCCCAGGCTCTCCCTAGTCAGGGGCGCTGGCCAGAGGTGGTACCTTGAAAGGCTCCCACCGAAGGACTCTTGGTCGGTAACGGTTCAAGCAAAGCTGAGATGGTGGGGAAGGAACATTTGCTTTGGCTCCAAGCAACGTGTCCCACAGAGGTTTCTTGCAAGTTTAGCAGTGATGGCTATTCCCCTAGATAAATCTATTATTTGATTACTGGGACTAGAAGAAAGTTCAGGACTGGGTGTATTCCACTAATCTGTATTTGTTTGTTTATTTTCTGGTTTAGACACTGAAAAAGACCTGCCAGGTTTGGGTTTTTTTACCCCACAGTCTTCATATCTCCATCTTTTGTTTGGGGGAACGGGTATAGTGTTTTCTGTGAATCTACTGTAGGGAAATGTTCAGTCCTTTGTAAACAAGGATTGAAAAGTGTGTTGTTTCATAGACTTAGCTTTGGGGCCAACGTATTTTTCATTGTCCGAACGTGAATATATTTTTATGTGTTACTAGAAAGGGTTGTTTGCATACTCTGTATGAATACGTGCATGCATTTGTGTATATACATGTATTATATGACAAGTAGGATTTTTATGATACTGTTAGAAAAAAAAGTGGCTTATATTATTTCAATAGCCTTGGTATTTGGTTTCAGTCTCACCTACAGGGCCTCTGTAAATAGTACTGTCTTGCTGTCTGAATGGGTAAATCCACCTACTAACATATGGTCTCTCTCTTTTTATGCAGAGTGACCTTTGGTCATGCGGCATTACAGCCATAGAGATGGCAGAAGGAGCTCCCCGTAAGTGATACGTGTGCTTCTCCAGTAGGCTGATTAAGACTGAAACATATACTTGGGAGATGCTGGTTGTAATCTAAGCCTAGTTTTGAGGTTTCTGAAAGTATCCTCATGTTATTTCTGTTCTCTTTGGTTTTGCCTGCCCTATAAATATAAAATCCCATAAATAGCAATGCTTTTGATAAAGATAGGATTGTGTCTAAGCACTACAGTGCAGACTGCAGTAATTTAATTTCTATAGCAGGAATATTTGGAAGCTAATTGAGCAGCAGAGTTTCTTCCTATGGGTAGTATATTGTGTTTTGGTGTTCTGTCCCAATTTGTGTATGGCCTGGCCTGGGATGCTGAAACCTCAGCCGGGGAGAGGTGCAGTGGGGCCTCGAGAAATCCGACCTTAATGAAAAAAGCGTCTGTAGCAATTGTTTCTGTGTTGGCTTTCTGTTGGTCTGGGTAATGCTAACATTGCTTCTCCTTTTGTTTCCACTCGTTGGTTGGTGATCTTCCTTAGCAGTGGCATGACCTAAGCTGCATGGCGGTGTTGATCTTCCTTAGCAGTGGCATGACCTAAACTGCAAAAGCGTTTTCAACACAGAGTATTGAACTTAATGCTCCCTGCTTGAGAATACCCATCAGTTGATATGGGTATTTTTGAGACAGAAGTCTGGAAACCAAAAATGCACAACTTTTTATAGCTTATTTTCCCCTCACATACTTAATTCTTTCTGAATATTAAGGCAAACAGCAGATATGTGCAAGAAAGAAGGATTTAAAAAGAAAATAAATTAGGCATGATGTTTTGGCTTTCAATGTAATTTCTATGAAAATCCTTACTGAACTAGCAAATATGCTTACCCCCAACCCCAGCTGGAGCTCTGTATTTAAAAAATAACAGCCCAACAACATAAAGGTACCTAAGAGTGAGTTAATTAAATTTTTTTACACATAAACAACCACCACAATACAGCCCAGCTTGAAACCTCTGTCTTTGAAATAACCATGTTGAAATGAAGTATTGATATTTTCCTAGCTAAAAAAATGGTCATTTCATTATAGCCGCTGCCTGATATTTTTGTTATTGTTGTTGTTAATGTAAAATTTATAAATCAAAGAACAACGCTCTTGTTTTGATTCATGTTTTAGGAGGTCTGATGGTTTGGTTTTGCTTTGTTTTCCTCCTAATTGCACATTTGCATGAATGCCCATGTGAGAGCTGCTCCCAGGACACCTCAGCCAGCGCTGTATGAACAGCGTTTGAGCTACCACTTGACCTCCTTTTTGCCTTACCTTTTTGTTCAGTGCATTGGGTTGCCTGGGTGGCTTTCAATTAAAAGCTGTGTCTGTGGGTTTTGTAAGCCTGGAACTGGACAATAATATTTTTTCATTTCCAAACCGAAGCAGAGCTTGACCCCTCTTTTTGTAAAAGCGCAAGAGGGGTATTTGAGCAGTAAGCAAAGATCCAACGTAAATGCTGAACAGCTCTTGCCTTGGTCTATCCTCTGGCATGTGGGCTCTGCCTCCTCTTTCAGCGACGGCTGAAGAGTCCATCTCTAAGTTTGGTGGTCTGATGGGATCCACAGGCATCCAAGGGGCTTCTCTGCAAGGTTGTGGCCCCTTATTTCTGCATCCAGAATCCTCTTCACATCAGTCTGTTTCTCCTGAATTTCTGCTGTGTGGAAAACGTTACCTCTTCCTGCAGTGATTATTCAGGCTGAGGCCGATGTTGCAAGAGGTTAAGCATAGCAAGATGGTAAAAACAGAGGATTTGCTTCTAGCGTCCTTTCTTGGGCAGCCTCCCTCCCTGCTCCCTTGTTTCCCTGCCTTGGCTCTGCCGTGGTGCTTTTGTTCTGCAGCAGGAGGAAAGTGTCTGCTGAAACCAAGGGTACTTCTTTTGACAAAAGTCGTTGGTTTGCATTTCAGTTCTGCAGGGAATCCTTTTTTTGATACAGACCCTCCCATGCTTCAAAACCATCAAGGCCTTGGAACAGAGAAAAGCTCCAAGTCTGGAGAAAAAAATGAGGCATCCTGCTTTAATTGCCCGCATAGTGGGAGAGGAGGGCAGGTGGAGTGAAGTTTGTTTGAAACAGTAACTATGTCATTCTTCCCTTCTGCCATCATGTTCTCCCAATATTTTATTGACCGGAACATAAGTTATATGACTTGGGGCTGGAGGAGGGCTGCGCACAGATGTTCCCATCATGGTTGAGTCTGAAGGTTAATAAATGCCTCGATCTCTTTCTCTTTTTGGGGCCGCCCTTGGCACATTGAGCTGTGGAATTGTTGTCATTTCAGGCTAATTCCATTTAGTTGTGTTGCTGTCTGCATCTGCTGCATGTGCAGTCGGGATGGTGGGGATGGTTGGGGAAACTGAACCCGTGGTAATGACAGAGAGTAACTAAGCCAATATCTATATGTTCCTGTTCGGGTTTGTTTTCTTTCCTTCAGCGCTTTGTGACATGCATCCCATGAGGGCACTCTTTCTGATACCCAGGAACCCTCCCCCACGGTTAAAATCCAAGAAATGGTATGTATTAGTTATATCTTGTTTGTAGCCCTTTCTGTAGCATGATGTTTTCTTGGGTCTTATCGCATGCTGTTTTGTTACCGCTTCCACAGAACTGTAAAGCAGTTTAAGTTTGCAAAAATCACTTGTTATCTTCTGTGCCACTGAATCAAAGCATGAAACAAAAAGCGTGCGTTGTTTATTTAGCTCTGTTCGTCCCAGAAAAATTTTATCTCGAATCGTGTGAAAGTAAAAACCAAGCTTTTTTTCTTGACAGAGCAGCATCTGTATTAAGGTGACAAATGGATCCATATTTTAAAAAATAAACTCCCGCAGCACTCTTAATATGCAGTATGTTTTCTCAGATGTATCATAACACAGAAACAGAACGGTACTGTAGTGTTCTAGTTGCTAAGTTGAAAGGAGCTATTAAAACTAATGAAGGCTTTTACTATAATTATTGTAAACGATTGGAATTGAGTGTGCACTTCTTGCCAGCTGAGAAGAATCCATTAGTATCGGAGGATTTCCTCCCAGTTACTGGTTACAACTGGCACGTATAAAACAAAAATACTCCCTAGAAAGAGGTTTCGTATAGATTGAATGTGATCACAGGATGCTGTGATCCTGTCAAAATAATGAAGTGATTTGACTGCCTATTCAATATCAATGTAATAAAAACTTGGCTTGCTTGCAGAGCTTGGTCTTTGCCTGGATTGACTTATTTATGCACTTGTACTGTCAAGGCATCCCTCTCCCTCTCTCATACTTGCTTTCTGCATGCTAAACTAATAGAGATGCATATACAGTATTTGCATAGGCCTTTCATTAACCTTTTTATTTGGAATAATAACACTTAAGGTGTGAGGAATAAAAAAAACCCAACGAAGTTACCTTGAATTCAGCCTCTTGGATTACAGTAGGAAAGTGAAGCGATGGATGGAAACCGTTGTCATTTTTACACTTAACCATGTAGTGGAGGTGTTTGCTGCCCAAGCGCGGGAGCAAGTTGAGAGCACCTAGCAATCAAAAAGTGACTCTGGCCAAAGCCAGTGCTGCTGTGACTCAACTGTTTTGATAGTGTGCTCAGTGGCAGGTTATGAGAAAATAGGCCAAATGATGAAAAATGCGGTTTTGAGTATTTCCATTATTGGCGTTTTGCAAGGCGGCTTGTTTGGTGACTTCTATCTGGAGAGGTCCTCTTTCAAGAGTTCAAATGAAGTGCAAATTTAGGAAAGTGGTGCTCCAGCTCAGCTAACTCCCATACCCTGTCACTTTATGCGGTGTGCAGGAGGAGCTCAGTTCAGTTCATGCCCTTAAATTGCATCAGTGAGAATTTGACCCCAGGTGCCTGTGTTGAACAGACAACATTGTTTGACACCTGCCTGTTGTTCTATGAAGATTTTTTTGTGTGTGGCTCTTCAGGTAAAAAATAAAATAATCTTAGATATCTCAGTGAGCCCAGGTGCGTACAAAAGCAGCACAGTGCTGCTTGTGTCAGGGGAATGTTGGCCACAGATCTTGTGGCTTTCGATACGGCTGTTCTGAAGCAGACGTGCCCTTAGATAGCACGGGCAGGTGGAGACACACCAGAGCTGCCCTGCCTGTTCTCCAAGCAAGCTGGATGCTACCCAGCTCTGGTCCAGAAGTAGCAGAGCTGGGTTTGCGTGATTTGCCTTCACTAATAGATCCTGCCTTTCAGGGCAATTATGCCTGTGAAAGAGGGCACATTACCGTGAGGCTGTGCCTAAGCACTGCAGGTATGTTGGTGTTGCCCTGTGTCCGTCCAGCATTGTGTCCATCCAGCCCAGTGCTCAGCTGGAGCACATTCAGCTCTGTTTAGGAGGCGTGCTTGCATTTGTACCATCCTCTGGGACCTGATGCTCTTTGAGGAAAGGAATTAGACTTTGAGGAAGAACAGAAAAAATGTTTGCGCTGAGTTTTACCTGTGATCTTGTTTTGTTTTGGTTTTTTTCCCTCCCTGCTTTCTCAGGTCAAAAAAGTTTTTCAGCTTTATAGAAGGTTGTCTAGTGAAGAATTACATGCAGCGACCTTCTACAGAACAACTCTTGAAACATCCCTTTATACGTGACCAACCAAATGAAAGGCAAGTCCGAATCCAGCTTAAGGACCATATAGACAGGACCAGGAAGAAGAGAGGAGAGAAAGGTATGCAGCTTCTAAAAATCAAGCATTGCAGTTTGTTAAAAATACATATTTTTGACCTGCTTTGCATTCTAAATCCCCACCCCTAGAAAAGTTCCGAACAACTGAAACCCTTGAAAAGTTATTTTTTAATTCATATTTTGACTATCAGCAGGCTTTTAGGTTTTGTTCTGTCCTCTAAAGAGAAAGTATCAATTTCAAGTGTCTTATTTTCAGATAAGTTAAATTTACTCGCTTCTGGGCCACTGCCTTTTCCATACAAGCATTAAATAGTATTTAGGAGGATATTGGCATATATGCCTTCCCCTTTTTTGGTCTGTGGTAGGTTCATTCCTGGAATGGAGCCATAAATCAGACTCGCAGGAAATAACCCATCACAAGAGCTATGAAGCAAATGTCTTGGGCAGCCTGTTCGCTTTATTCAGGTGCTGAGGTTCTCCAGGTGTCTTGTCTTTACATATAAAACCTGGTGTCATTCAGGGAATTTGCTGAAAGTCTGCTGCAAAGCACTGTGCTGCTTTACAAGTGTGGGAAGATGGGCTTGTATATGTAGAATGAGTTCTAGGGTCTGCGATAGATCTTCTCACTGAAGGAGATAGGAACCGGTTCACTAAGGCGCTACTGCAACTCCCCACTGTCCTAAAATTAAAGATAAGCGCTATCTAGGCCTTTGTTTCTTTCCTGTTAGATGAGACAGAGTATGAATATAGTGGAAGTGAGGAAGAAGAGGAGGAAGTGCCTGAACAAGAAGGAGAGCCAAGGTAATAATTGCTTTTGGGAGGGCTCTGGGCAGTCCATGCCAAATAAGTCTAAGGGTCTGTGACTATAAATCAGGAGCACGCTAAATTTCTGTCTCTCTATTAAGTGCACGCACAAGCCACACAAACCACCCAAAGGGTTTGAATACCTATTCTGTGACTGCTAAAGGTTTTAAAGCTCCCCCTCATATGGCTGAGAGCCAGCGAGCTCTGGATGGAGGGAGATTTACGGCAAATATGATTGGTCAGGGGCTCCACAATGTCAGAGTTGGTCCTTACTTTGCTTGGCCTCATTTCACACCTTCCACTGAGAGCATGTGTTTGACATGCATCCAGTGTCTTCGCTCCAAAGGAGACGAGATTAAAATTTAACATCATGCTATATTTTATTAATGTTCCCCTGCTTTGGAAAAGGTATTTAATGGCCCATCAGGCTTTATTGTACGGGAGGCTTTAACTTCCTCTTGTTGCAGTTCCATTGTCAATGTGCCTGGAGAATCAACCCTCCGACGTGATTTCCTGAGACTGCAGCAGGAAAACAAGGAACGGTCCGAGGCCCTTCGGAGACAGCAGCTGCTGCAGGAGCAGCAGCTCCGCGAGCAGGAGGAGTACAAGAGGCAGCTGCTGGCAGAGAGGCAGAAGCGCATCGAGCAGCAGAAGGAGCAAAGGAGGCGGCTAGAAGAGGTAGAGACAGGAGGCTGGAGCTCAGGGGGCAAAAAAGCCCCTCTTCCACTTGTGTTTCCCATTCCCGTGCCCATTTAAAAAGAGTTCCCTGTAGCCCCAGCACATCTCAGGAAAGAAACCGACATGTGCAAATCCACTGGCAAACGTAGAGCAAAGCACTTAAATCCATGTCTGGCTACTTGAATATGAGCCGTCTTCCAAAGCGTTTGAATATCCAGCAGCTCCTGTGGAGGCAACAGGAGCCAAAGTTGGGTTGTTTGAAGGTATCTGGGGGGAGGCTGTGTCTTGGTCTCTGTTCCAAAGAAGAGGCAACATGTCTAGACTTTAGGTAGCTGTAGAGAAGGGGAGACGTTAATTATTCCCAGATGGATTTCTTCTCAAGATTACTTCTTTTGGGGCCATGACATGCTTCAAATTTCCCTTTAAAGCTTTCTCAAACATCTGTGTTTGGCACTCATTCATGGTAGGTAGAAGCCTATTTTTTAATGTATTACTCTCTCATGCATAGTAGCATGATGACTAAAAGCCACCTAGATTTATAAATATGATTTATAAATCAGTGTTAAAATTATAATTCTGCAAAAATTACAAATATGTAAATCATACTTTTGTGATATGGTAAGTATGCAATTTGCATACACTACCCAAAGATAAAAGAAGATGAATGTACATGTACAGTATTGTTCTGTCATACTTTTCACCTCCTAAGATCTCGTGTGCCTTTATATATATGTAGGTGGAATATGCAGTGTAAGCTTCAAAGGTGGGAGGATTTCAAAACAGTTCTTCAGGCCAGAGCTGGGTATGACACAGAGCTGAAACCAATCCTTTGGCTCCTCAGGAAGTGCAGGGTCAAATTCCAGTCGTCCTTAAATGACCTCTTGCTTGAGTCGCTGTTTCAACTGTTGACTTAGCAATGATGAAAAAACTACACCCAGTCTGGTTTTCCAAATCCTGGTAATGTTTAAGGAGGACGCAACCAGGACCAAATGTTGATTTGCATCCCGCGATGTGTTTACATAACAAATAATGCAAAATTCCAAATAGCTTTCTGGGTCACATTATGCTCCTTATCCCTCTTTTCAATGTGCAAGTGAGTTTATTGCTACTATAAGGACGGATTGGTAGCAAAGACTTAGCCACACATGAAGCCAGGAGGAGGTACAAGGGGGAGGCATATAAACTCAATTTTTCTTCTGTTTCTTCCCCACCCTTCTGAGATTGCCAAGATAAACATCGTACCTCTTCCAACTGTTTTTAGACTCTGGCTCTGTAGCGATTTTGTGGGGGGAGCAGATAATAAAAAGAGGCTAGGAAAATACAAAAATAAAATATTTTATTGATATTGTTAAAGGTGGGCAAAAGTTGAGATACCGTTTAGCCTCTAGAATTTTGCTTAGTATGGGGATCAATTAGTTCTTTTAAATGCCTCTTTAATCTCCAAGGTTCTGCAGGCGGTACTTTTTTGGCAAGGAAGGGGATTGCGATTAAATTATCTAGGTCATTTAACTTTAGTAATCAATGCAACCCTTAAAATCTGGAATTTCTTTTTAAAATAAAGGAGATGCTGCTGCTAGTAAGGGAAACAAAGCAATGCACCTCTTTGCTGCACAGGGTTGAACTTTTTGGGGATGTTGCAGAGATCATAATTTAATGAGCAATTAAAAAGAAAAGGCAGTTACTTGAAAGTTATGTTTAATCAGTCCTGCTTTTTAAAACACAAAACAGAATTAACAACTTCAGCAACCACAAGATGGCATGTAGTGTAGGTTGATGATATTACTGAGTAAGGTTACACAGTAAACCATGTAAAGTTTGTAAGAGAAAAGCCTTTACCTTTTATTGAGTCTATAACCTCAGTCTGGTTCCCTTAGAAACATAGTATGAATGATGAGCTATAAAGGTTTCCTTTTGCACGTGGTGGGGTGGGCATATTGTCCTTAAAGTGAATTTAAAAAAAGGCTCACACTGAGTTTTCAAAAAAACCCACTTAGTTTGTTGGATCTTGTGTTGGAAAAATGCATGATCCCAAGTGATTCTTAACAAAACAACAGCCAAAACAAGCTCTTTAAGATGGGGGAAGGGTGGTAGACACATATTTAGATAAACATCAGTGTTGTGACACAATTGAAGGCCAAAATATTGAAATGCGGTCACTTTGTCCTTAACTCACCCCCCTGTTTTCATGAAGCCAGTAAACAATGAAAAACTTGGTAATGTGAGTTAAGATTAGTGTCATAGAATCTCTGGGCTTCCATCAGTTTGTTGACATTTTTACCAAGCCTTGCTTTCTTGTAATTTTTCCTTGTGTAGAGTAAGTGTGTGTTTGGGTATACTTGTTTGACGTTCTTTGGGAAGAATTTTATGCATTAGATAGTCTCCCTGGACAAGTTGCTTATACTTTCCCCCCTTCTCCCCCCCCAGCTTCCTAAATTAAAATTGAGGGCTTGTTCTTACAATGCTGGCACAGAGCCTAGACAGTTTTGACCGAGACTGCAACAGGAACGGTGTTTAGGACATCTGCCAAAAACTGTAATTCTTAGCAGTATTAGAGAGAAGATTACTTTTTAAAAGGCATATAGGTGACTTCTAAAACTTGTTGTTGCAGGAACCTTATAATTTGTGTATTACTTAGGAGGTGGAAATGATACGTGGTCAAAGTGCATAAAATTACCTGAAACATTTTGGGAAGGGGATTGCTTGTCCTCCCCCACCCACGCCTTTAAAAATCATGTAACGATTAGTTGCATAAATATCAGCTGTATGTCATATAAATGTTGAGATGGTTAAAACAAGAAATCTGAGCTGTGACAGGCTGTTCTAACATGGGTCTATGTTTCTGTTCAGCAACGTGGAGACACCAGTGCTCAGTGTGATGGGTATGGAAAGGCATTTGAATCTGTACTTTGCAGAACTGAGTCTGGTTTGGGAAATTCAGAATTAGCCGTGGTGGAATCCCATTCTGTGTGGACCTCCACAGTTCAGGATAACTTCATTAAATGATGTCTCTGTCCCTGGTTATGAGAACCTAAGATGGATGGTTTTGAAGTGGTAGGTTGTAGCTCCATTGGCAAGTAGTATAGTCCAGTAGAAACAGATTTGTGGAGCACAATAATTAAAGTGCTGAGGACCCAAAGACTTCACTCCATGTGTTTGAAGACAGGAGGCGTTCCTTTGGATTAGCTGAGGTCTAGACTGCGTGCCTGTGGTTGGAGTGCATCTGCCTTTTTAATTTCATCCAAAAGGAGTGGTTGGCACTCTAAGACATCTTCAAAATATGAAACAAAACCTGGTAAGTGGAGACGATTGGATGATTCACTTCAAAAGAGCACTCCTGATCTGAACCAAGATGCTAATGTAGGTGTGCCTGCAGGCGATTTTTGCCAGGGCTTTGTTTCTTTTACAGAAGGGGAGATTATTCATATCTACTTAATTTGAATTGCTTGCAGTTTGGATTGGTACCGAGTAAGAAGTTCTACTTCTGCTTTATCTCTAGTGTGGGCAAAGCAAAAGTCTCTTTATTAATCTTTCCAATCCTCTTCCCAAGCTGATATCAGGCTACCTAATTCTTAGTGAAAGAAATTATTAATATATGTATTTATCAACCTTCATCTGGATATAAGACAGAGTAATAATATTTTATTAATATAAAATTAGAGGATCTCTATTTGTCTTCAGCATTTCACTGTATGAAGGAGGTCCTGAATTCGTTGGTGTACACCAACTGCATGTGTAGTTCCATTGCCCCCTCCTGGTAAATCATGCTCTACTGCATGGTCTTCCAGTTTGGAGATGTTGGGTACCATTATGAGATCATCATTAATGCACCCTAAAACCGGACAAGGAGCCAGAGTATTGACACTGTATATTCTGTATGGTTTTTTTTGTTGTTGGCATAGTAAATGCCAATTTTGTGAAATGCAGAAATTTGAGGCAGTATGGGCTCTGTCAAAATTCTGTTTTGGCATCTCTGAAATTTCTTTGAAGAGTTCCTGCCCTTACCTTCTGGTTAACAGTTAGCTCCTTGAAAATAAGCTGTTCATCTGACATGTGCAAGGAAGTTGGTAATACCATATCCAACTAAAGAAGATCTGGATATGCATCATTAATTTCAGGGTATCCAGATCTATATCTGCTATCTAAGGGGCATGTACAGGAACAGTGTTTTACATCAGACATTTTTTGTCGTGTGTTGTAAGAATTATAATATCTAACAGTCACACTTATTAAATTCAGAAGTTGAAGTTTTAGAAACAGAACACGGTGACCAGGGCTTTAGTGTATCCTCATGGAAGAGTTGCTAGAGGCAGTCAGGAAGGTGACCTTGTGCCGACAGAAAGATGGTAGGAAGTCAGCTAAAGGGCTGCTTCTGAAGCCAACTTGGGTCAACGACGACTTGCCGCCAACCAGCTTTGCCATTGCTTTGACAAGTTGTAGACTAGGACCCGAGAGATGCTTGTCACTGTAGGTTTCCTTTCCCTGGACTTGTTAAAAGTAGATTCTACTTTGTTAGCGGCCAGTAGTTCGATGCTGAGGTTTCAAAGGCCACGTGCAAAGGAAGTGAAACCTTTCTCTTACAGCTAGGGCTGGGAATAAGTGGATCATGCGAGGTGTTTCTGCCGGCTCTTGCTGTGCTGGGTGCCTCCCTTCCCACCCGCCTAGCGAGGCGCTGAGGCGGTGTCTTGACGGGAAGGCGGAAGCAATGCCGAGAAACCCCATCTCTCTGTGTACTTTGGCACATAGACAATAGCACATTTGTGCTTTGGAGATTTGACTTAAATGCACACTGGTGGCAGAGAATCCTTTTTTTTTTTTCCCCCCTTCTTTTGCTGGGTAATAAATATCTACTATCAGTGCTGAGCTAGCAATCTGGCTGTCTTTTAACAGCTGATTTTGTTTATTTCATGATGCCATGGAAAATCAGCTCTCTTAGTCAATTTGTAACTTATTTTTCTCAGATTAAGTTCTGTTATTTGTAAGTATTGCTGAATACTTCTGCATTGATTCAAGAAGCGATGAATTTGTTTCATCCGAAAGACCTAAGCTCTGCCCATCTTCCTTGTAGTGAGAATGATGCCATCCCAAGATCTGCAATATATCTACTTAACAATGTCAACACAATATTGTTAGGCAGACAGGCTTCATATGTTTTAAGAAGTGTTTGAGTTGATAAATGTGCATATTAACCAGTCAGCAGTGTGCTGTCTCTTGCATCCTCAGGGCAACAGAATTATTGTACTTCACATCTTAGTTTTCTTAAACAAAGAGCCTGTCAGACTTGATTAGCCAAGAGGCACCTGAATATATTGACTTAAATATAGAAATTGTTTGACACAGATGCGTATATTCAGAAATAAAAGTGCCTACTTAATCCTTTTACAGTGCTTAAAAAATGAAGGAGGGCAAGCAGTGAAACCTATGAAATGCACCGTGTGCCATAGCTGCTGTCTTGCAGCACTTTTGCTATTTTTGTATCTACATTCATTGAAGAGACCTTCCTTAAGCAAGGGAGAAAAGGCTGGTGGATGCATTTAGTTAGGAGATGCAAGAGCAAGGAAGCTGTGTTTCTGAGAAGATACAGAAAATGTGTGGGGAGAAAAGACCTTATGTCTTCTGGCACAGGAAGGCGGTAGTGAACCCAGGATGATGCTATGGGCCAGGAAGGAAGACATCATAGTTACAGAGTGGGTGTATTTGAACAGTGGTCTTCGAGAAAGTTGCATCTTTCCCAAAACTGCAGCTAGTTAGAGAGGATCAGAAAGCAGCCTGTTTTATTTAAGTACTACTAATTCTTAATCATCTCCTTTTTTCCCCAGTGTTTCTTCTCCACTGTCATGTCTGTATCGATTCCAGAAGATGGAAAAGGCTGTTGTGCTTTCAATTACTTCATAGTCATGCAGGGTCATGTGCCGAGCAGAGAAAGCTCATCCCGTGAAGTAACACAGGGAGCATAGATTGGCCTTTGCTTGTTCAGTTGAGCACAACTATGAAACGCACACCAGTAACTGGATTTGTGAACCCAAATAAAAGCTTAGTCTGAGTGCTCTTGCAAGACTACTTGGAGTGCCTTAAGACTGGCAAATCTGTGGCGGCTTTGCTTCAACAGAAATTGGTCATAATATTAACCTTAACCTAAATGTGAAAAGGAATAACCAATGTAGGTTTTCATTTGTTCTTGGGATTAAATTTGAGTGTGCTTTTTTTGGTTTAAATTTCTTCTGTAATTTTTTAGCATATTATAGAAATCTATAATGGAAGTAAATGTTGTAGAGATATTCCCGGTTGATGGTTGAACAGGAGACAGCTGGGTCTTTTGACACTTAGGCAGTTGTGGGAGGCTGCTTGGGATTTCAAGGTAGGTGGAGTAACTGGATGCTTCTGTAGAAGTGCAGGAAGAGTTGGTCACGACTGTATGGGCATTTAAAATGTCTCCTCTGAAGTCATATGTGGTGCTCTATAGGCATAAATGAGTCAGTTCATGCTTTCTAGAGCTGTTTTCCAGGTTCTTTTCAGACTTGAGCAGACGTATCAGCACCAGTTTGTATTTGGGTCATGTGTGAAAGCTTATCAGTGTAAGTGTAAAAGCTTAGCTCAGCTGTTTTTCCTCTTTTACATATAGGTGCTTTTGATGTTCTGGGAGGGGCCGAGGTGCTGTTGGTCAGCCTTCCTTCTCTCTTAGGCAAAGTTCTGGGCAGTGCATTAAATCAAGCTTGGTTGTTGGGCCAACACTACCAAGTTCTTAGCAGAATGAATTGTGTTAAGAGAGAAGCTGCTTACTGAAAGCTCAGATAGTTGTCATTTGAGTTTTAGCTGACGCAGTGGGGCTGATAATTCCCTTTTGGCAACATTTAGATAATGTGTTGAAGTCAAGAAAATTGTCACTCTGATTAAGATTTGAGTTCAACAGTTGTTCAAAGATTGAGATTTCAGTGTGAGCCTCTCTTGAAGAGCAGCAGTGAGCTTCCACACCTCGGTTGTCAGGAATATGGTACGTGACGTTGTGTGTGTGCGTGAAGAAACCAGAGAGAATAAGTGAGGCTGCTTTTAGGGATAGTTTTCTGCTGGGTATGAGTTAGTTTCCTGGTGGAACACTTGCATAAAACGTTTTGTCACTCGGTGGCAGAGCTTGCCAGTCCTGGTAAATCCCTCTCTTCACAGTAGAAAACAACCCCACCTCTTTCTTTGATAACAACAAAAGTAAAACTTTGTGGTTTCTTTTCCATTTTTGTAGCAACAAAGAAGAGAACGGGAAGCTCGAAGGCAACAAGAGCGTGAGCAAAGGCGGAGAGAACAGGAAGAAAAGAGACGTCTGGAAGAAATGGAGAGGAGGCGTAAAGAAGAGGAAGAGAGAAGAAGAGCGGAGGAGGAAAAGAGGAGGGTAGAAAGGGAGCAGGTGAGTCCACGATACAGATATATGCGCAATAGGTTTGTTTCTTCTAAATTCTAATTTAATTTTTTAAAAATTAGTAAGCCTAAAGCAGCTTAGAGGCAAACCTAACGCTGACCCTTTCATCTTTGTTGTCTCTGACAGCAAACGCACTAACATAGATCGTAGGGCTTTATGGAAAATTCTGGCAGCCTCAATATTCCCTCAGAAAAAGAAGTCTTGTTGCGGTACTCATTCTAAATTCAGCTGGTGCCCCTGGGCTTGACTAAAATCCATCAGAATTGGCAAAATCATCACTGGGGCTGAAAACTGTTTCTAGGCTTGTCTTGCTGGATTAGTGGTTCTTGCAGGACATGCCCCTGTTCAGAAGGCCTTCCAGAGAAGGGCAGCTCTGTTGCGTTGCCAGCTTCTGGCACCCAGAATTGGTCAGACGCTCATCATAAACTTTGAATATCCTGAATTTGAGGTGGAACCTTTGAGCTGCAGAGGGTTTTCCTTCCTAAAACTTAAATATGCAATCTCTCTGTCTCACTTTGTCTATTTAAAATCAGCTCTAATAATGTATGCCAGTTCAGGCAGCAAGTATATCTTAAGTTGTGTCAGTGTGCCCTTAATACATTGAAAGTACAGGTGAGAAACCTTTTAAACTGTGAAATTCAGCTGCTGTATTTATGCGTGAAATCTGCATGTTTTAAAATTCTTTAAAAACTTTAATCAGGGTGATAATCAGGGTAATAATTACTGTGCATGTACTGCAAAATACTGATCCCAAATAAAGGGCCAAAACTACTGTCCTAGAGGCTGATTGTAAATTTCCCATTAACCTCAGGAATGCTGGTTTTGGCCTGATATACTTTAATTTTTTCTTACGTAAAGTCACTGTATTTGAGATCATTGATGATCGTGTTACTGGGGAATTTTGTTGTGTTTGTATATATTTCAAAGATTTTTGAGTCAAAAGGAGAGAAGACTAACCAATGGGAATAAATATATGGAACATCTCTAACTACAGCACAGCAATTTGCTTTTGGGCAGACACCGGGTATTCCCCCAGCTGCTTTTTAAACTGTTGAAATGCTAATTACGCACAGTGCCAATAATGACAAATGGTTAATTGATGTGGCCAAGCTGAACCACTCTGAATTTTTTTTTTTTTTTTTTTGGAAGAAAACACATGCCCCCTCTTAGAATTTTTGTTAACCCAAACTATGGCTCAGCCAATGTGCGTAACAACAGTATAGTGTATCTCATCAGTCTGTCACGAGACTTTCTATAGCTCCCATCACTGTATCACTGATCCATTAATTTCTTTATGCATACACTGTAAATGTGTGCGTGTGTGCGTGTGCTTGTGTGTGTGCGCATGCACATGTTACATACTTCCATTAATTGCATGATAGGATGTTACCAGCTTGGGTTTGGTGCTTCAGAGTTTTGAGTTCTTCTAGGGGGTCAGGTGAAGCAGCGGGTAAACCTCTCGACCTGTTGAGGCTGCGGGTGAAGAGATGGCTAGATCGCAAAAGCGAGCGAGTTTGGTCTAATATCTGTTTCCTGGTGGATGTTTGTTTGTGTCATAACCATCGCATAATTCAGCAAGGCTGGCAGCGTCTGCTCAGGAGAAGCTTCTGGTGAGGGCGGCAGGGGAGACGGCAGGGCAGGTCCCAACTGCACTTGGCAGAGCCCCTCTGGGGGAGCTTGCTCCAGGTCTGCCTACACTAAGCCTGGCTCTAGCTGTTGCTAACAGTTCATTGCACCAGTGCAACAAACTAATGTTTAATACAACTTGCATGTGACTTTGTGTTGGCTGTGTTGAGTCAGACTTGCTGTGTTTTAACTTTCCAAAACCTTCAAGTGCATTTTGCTGCTTCTTGAAACCACTTCCAAAATACATAAACGAGCTCTGGCCCACGCCGGCAACATTTGCAGGAGTCCAAATTTCAGAATGGAAGGGGCCAAAATCTGATGCTCAGGAGGCAGGGCTTCCTAAATTGTTCTGCAGGCACTAATCCATCCTGAAGTGCGTTTCTCGTTAAAGCTGAACTGGGGAAGTAGCGTGTGGTGTTCCACCCAGGGGGTTCTGATGCATTCCTTTTGAATAAATTTATTGCTGGGTAATTTCTATGTGACAGGAGTATATCAGGCGACAGCTAGAAGAGGAGCAGCGGCACTTGGAAATTCTACAGCAGCAGCTGCTCCAGGAGCAGGCCATGTTACTGGTAAAGCACTGTATCTGTTTTGTTCAGTAGCTATAGGATCCATTTATCCGGCCAGTCCTAGGCTTCCCTCAGTCGGGCACAGCTGCACTGACAGTATGACAACAAAGGAGCTTGATTAAAAGGCCATTTATGCTAGCGTCGTGGGCTGACAGGCACATATGAGAAGTGCTGTATGGTCACACTGCTTTCTGGGCAGTAAGAGGAGGCTTTATGTTAAAGTGGAACAGTTCTGGTGTGGTGGTCGAGTTTCTGAACAGACCTTGGCATTCAGTGACGAACTAGAGTGCTTATGTTGCAGATCAAAAGCACACATGATATGTAAATCCACCCCGGGATACAATGGCCTAGTGTTGGTCTAAATCATTGTTTTATGAACTTTATACTGGATTTAGTATAAATAACTCTTTTTTTTCCTTTAATAAAAATCAGTTTTGACATAACTCTCCAATCATGTCAAGCTTAGCAGTACATTCTCAGCTTTCCCAACACGAGACACATGCCATATTGGTCTAACTTAGCTCTTGGTTACGCTTTAAAAATGAAATAAACAAAACAAAACAAACAAACAAAGGCAACAACAACCAGAAAGGTGCATTTTTAACGGGATGGATAGGGACACGTCGACCATACAGTCAGTGTCATGTCTTGAATTACTCACACGTTCTCTCAAAGGAATACAGATGGCGAGAGATGGAGGAACACCGACAGGCGGAGCGACTCCAGCGCCAGTTGCAGCAGGAGCAAGCCTACCTCCTGTCACTGCAGCATGATCACAGGCGGCAGCAGCAGCAGCAACAGCAGCAGCAACAGCAGCAGCAGCAAGAAAGAAATAAACAAAGCTATCATACCCCTGAGCCAAAATCCCACTATGAGCCTGCTGAAAGAGCGCGGGAGGTAAGTCCTGCTTGTGGGCAGGAATCTGCTACCTGCTCTTCTGCCCCTGCCTGTTAGCATCATTGCGACTGTGATTCTGCTATAGTACAGTCGGAGGCCAAAGCGTCACTCATAAGGGGCAAGATATTTTAAAAAGTTGGCCACTGGTTTCCAAACCCGAGGGATACTTCAGAGTACTTCTGCTGCAATCACTGGAGTTCAGAGTTTTGACATATAAAGGGTGGAAAGAAATTCTGGAAGGCTGCAGACTAAGGGGACCCGGTTTTGGAAGCATCACATGAGGAAGTTAATCTCATCTGCACTTCATCAGACATGATTTCATAGGAAGCATTGGTGCAGTTGGTGATCTGTGTCTGTGGCAAGTGCTGGCGATTGGAAACTGAGAGGCGATTGGAAAGCACGAACCTATGAGGGATGCTTGCACACAGCACCTGTTTACACATTTGGTGCTTTAGCCCATGCTCTTGGAAATATCCTTTTCATGAACACAAACCTGAATTTAATTAGTTTCATTTTTGAAGTGTTAAGTATTCTCTTCTGAGATCACGTCCTGCTCTTATGAAACTCTGTGGTGCTGCCTTCTTGGACTTTGGGCACTCACAAGTCGATCTGAAATCATCAGAGTGCTGTTTGTTTCAGTGAGTGGTCCCCTGTCTTCACTGGTCCATGGGTAACACTGCTAAGCAAGTAATTGCCTCTGATGCATACTTGGCTCTCTTTCAGCGGTCTTATTCTTATGTTTCCCTTGAGCACCATACTGCCCACAAACCACTAGACTGGGCAATAGTGGTCAACGCTCTTAATGGCCTTCATCACCAGCATGTGGAAACTAGGTAAATACATTTTGGAACAAGAACAAAAAAATCCTTGGGGCTCTTGAACATGATAAAATAGCTTTCGGTCCACCTTCATCCAGTAGTGCTTCGTTGCCTTTGAAGTATTGCTGTTTGGGCTTGGTGAGCACAAACTCATTTTCTTGTAGATGCTATTGTCCAAGTTCTTCATAAACCATGTTTGGGCTATCTCATCCATTCCTCTTGGTGATTGAAGTGTCTGGTATGTCTCTCTCTCCTGCAAGAAGTTCAGACTTGTCCGGTATGTGGTGGTGCAGGCATGGAACCAGCCCTCCTGTCCTTGTTCCTGGCCAGCCTCAGTGAAAGCACAGTGCTAGTCCAGCATTCCTGTCCAACCTGAAGGCTAGCTTTGGAAGGGATGCAGAACCGTCTCTGTTCCTCATCTCCCGTTTTCCTTTCAGAGTTGAAAAGGAGAGAAACTCCTGAAGATTCAAAGTGTTACATCCTTTAGCAGAACCACTGACTCAGCTGTTTTTCTGTTGCGGTCTTTTTCTTTTGTGATTGCTCTAGCTAGAAGGAGTAAAGTGAAGGCAGAGAAAAATTGTGTTAGTAGTCAGATCTTCCCAGAGATTGCTGTGTACATGTGGTTGAAGTACAGCCATGATATCTCAGTGCCTGGCAGTGGGAGCAACATCAGTTAATCTTAAAAGCAGGCATTAACTCTTATGTCTTTCTTGACATTGGAGTTGGAGAGCAAGTATTCTCTGCCTCATACTTTCAGGTATACTGCTCTCCAGAGAAAGTCTCCATCTACGGAGATGCTGACCATCAGGATGATAAGCCAAAGTGGGCTAACTTTCCTGTTCTGGCAAAGTCTAATGGGGATTAGGGTTTTCTTCTCCATTCCAGTGGCAATGAGAATATAAGGAAAAGGACTTCTAAGATTGGCTCTGGGAAACGGGGGGAGATTAGCACAAGAAATGAGGCTTTAATACTGTTTTCTGGTCCAGACACTCAGATGACCGGAACAGGGCCTGTTTCTATCCAGGGGTGCACTGGCTGTCTCCTTCCCACCTCTTGCCTGGTTTTAAGGACATGTGGCTCATGCAGTTTATGTGCTTTGTGGAGGAAACCTCCTATCATCTGCAGCTAGAGACATGAAAGCCTGTTCCTTCAGACAGAAAGACTTGGGGCTTTTCCTTGTTCTATTCGTAACAAGGAGTCTAGCCTGTTTTTTAAACTTTGAAGGATGGCTCTGTGAAGTTGAACACAGCAGTGAAAATGATTGTATGGTGAAGATGCTTGCCTCCATTATTGTTGTATTTCCCAAGACATGGTGTATTTTATGTAGACCTGGCAGAAGCTTGTCTGCTTGTTCCCATAGGCAAACTGTTACTGTCCTCAAATTTTGGAAAGCAGAGGCAGGTTGGGTTTGTAAAGCAGCCCAGCTAAGCAGTCCTGGAGACTTGCCTCTGTCTTCTGACATGGGTATGTGAACAGCCAGTCTCTCCAGACCATCACTGCTAGGGAACAATTAGGAAACCACCCCAATACTGGTTTTGTGCTTCAGGCACAAGTGTTAAAGCAGATCTTGTGAGCAGAATCTCAACAAATGAAATCAGCCCAAGCTGCCAGTTTGATGTTTCTTTGATGCTTTGATAAAGTGCTGGGAGTTTAGCGTTCCTCAGTGGCAGGTCCCCTGGCAGAAACGCACGCGCTGCCCTGATTCCAGCAACAAAAACCATCTTAGGAAATGGGAGGATATTTCCTTGCTGCCTGGAGCCTCCCTCCATCTCTTACCTTTCATACCTCTCACTTCGTTCGCAATGCTGCGGCCTTGGAAGAGGTGACATTTCTGCATGGGGACCTCGCTTGATGTTCTTTTGAGGGCTGAGCACTTTCTGACTTAGTCTTCCCCTCGACAAGCTCTCGAGGTTAGTGTATGATCACTTCTGCTCCTCCCTGAGAACCAGAAACAAGCTGCTGGAGCTGTTCTCTGCAGCATGTGAGGTCATGTTGGGACTATCTGATAAAAGAGAGGATGACCAGTCCTACAGTTTTGTACCTAAAGCTGAACAGCCTCCAGTACTAGCGGGTAGGGAAGCATATCCTATCTCTTCTTGCATTGCCAAAGAGACAAGCACAGGAAAGCAGATAATCAAATAACATTGGTTGAGTAAGGTGGGTAACTACGGTAAGGGATAGCAATGGGAAATGTACTTCTATATTATGACGTTGTTTCTGTTTTCATATATCCTTTTTATTGTCTGTGAGGAAAATACTGATGGGTAGTAACTAGTCTAGGCAGAAAGAAGCCCCATAATGGTCTTTCATCATATCACTTCGCATATTACTGCCTGCTGTATTCTCTCTTCCTAGGATGGATTTTCCATTCTGGCATACTTGCCACTTTGGTGTAGTTCACTCTGTGTTTTACAGTGCTGGTGAAAGCTGTAGGGAAAAAATTCTGCCAAGCCCCAAATCTATTTGGTTTCGTTATGGTAAAGGAAAGATGGTACTCACCTTCATATTTCTACTGTAATTGGTTTTATTGACTCCAGGCTTAACCTTCATTTATTTTGGCTTAGGTGGAGGAGAGATTTAGAAAAACTAATCAGGGCTCCCCTGAAGCACAGTCTAAGCAGATGGGCAAAGTGTTGGAGCCACCAGTGCCTTCAAGATCAGAGTCCTTTTCCAATGGAAACTCAGAACCTGCTCAGCCTGCCCTGCAGAGGCCGATGGAGCCCCAGGTAAGTGCCCAAGAAAATCTTGGTGAGCCTGGAGGAAATTCAGAAATCTCAACATTTCCTTCAAATTTGCAGATCTTGGCACTTAGAAAGTCTTATGTAACGGGTAGCACTGTTACACAAAGCAGCTTATGCAGTAGATTTGCTCTTTGTCTATTTTTGCTTATTTTATTGATAAACTGATGGATTTGTGGTTTTGGTGTTGGGTTGTTTTGGTTTTTTTTTTTTTTAATATCAGAGCTAGCTTAGAACTGTTGCATTGTTATTATCTGTGCAACAGTGGAATGGTGGCCTAAACACTGGTGACAGTTGCAGTACACTTTTTTATAATTCAGAATTTGATCTGTGCAAGATACTTACTACCAAAAAGGATGCTCAGAAAAGAAGTGACCTTGCTTGGTTTTTTAAATTCTTGTGGAAAAAAGTTAACTAAACAAGTGGTTTCTAATAGTATGAGCACTGCTTCAAAGAGATTTACAAAACATGACTAAGAAAAGCAAGTTTGTTGTCAGTAGGCTTACAGTTGCTAAATAGAGCTCTGTACCACCCCTGGAAAATCAAAAAGAGGTTGAAACCATTGAGCTGCGTGGCTGCCGTCATTCTGTTGTTTTCTAATGAAGAACCTCCAGATCTTGGTATCTGTGTATCATAGAAATTACAGCATGAATTTAAAAAGTAACCTTTGTCTAAAACTTAGACATACCCCATAAATTCTGAGCGATTTAGATATGCTAAATTAAACAGTATAGTTCTGCATTCGGTTTCTCTGTTTCCATGCAGAATTTTCTTCTCCCTAATTAAGTCTGTTGATGACAGTGCAAGCCAAAACCGTCCCTGATTGTGACTAGGTATTGCAACTCTTTTGGGCAACAGGAGAATTTGAACAGACGGGAGAGTGGGAGAAATCAGGACAGAACTTCATCTCTTACTCATTAATTCCTGGCTTTTATTCAAACCTCTATGACTATTTCAAAATATTGGACTTGTATCTTCATGCTCTACGTGCCAGTTACTTTTAAAGTCTGGGTCTTCCACTCATATTAAGGATAATCAGGCTCTTCAACAGATGTGTGTGTTAAATTTGAGGAAATAATAATCATATAAAAACAAATACAACCAGCCTACTGAAACTGGGGTTGAAAGCAAAGTTTTGCTTAATTATTAGGTGTGAAAAAAGTGTGTTGCTCAGTTATGACCTTTCCTCCTCCTTAGTTTCAGAAATTAACGCTGAAAAGCAGGTTTATGCACAAGGAGGGAGTAGGCTGAAGGGTCAATATGGATTTCAATGGAAATCCCAAGGGAGTTTTAACCCTGGAGTCACTGTTGTGCCTTCTTAGTATGTGTAATTGAATATGTGTGTGTGTACGTGTGTGCTTAGTTTGTGTATAAATATGTATATATGTACAGTATATGGTACATATATGGTGTAAGTATAATATGCATTGTACATATGTATACTATATACAATATATATTATGGGGTTTTTATATATATTGCAATGACTGTGAAGGAATAAAGGCTTTTGTGTTATGGTCCTTCTCCAAAAGTTTGGAACTGTATCTAGTTCCTAAATTTATTCGGTAACGTAAACGTCTGTCAGTTTGCACATTTTACAGCATTCTTTAATTTTGTACATTTCTTCAATTGGATATTTGCTTCAAATTTCCCAACTCACCAGTGCTGCCATGAGACCTGACCAAAGCCCACTGAAGACTGGGGAACGGAAGGCGACTTCTGTCTTGAGTGGCCTTTGGACTCAGGCTCACGGTGCAGATACTGGGTCCCCTTTTCTTCTGGGCACCAGTGTATGTGTATGTGGAGAGCGTATCTCACAAAAAATGCATATGTGCTGTATTTTTAGTCTGTTATGTTCTTTGGGCGCTTGCCTTGCTTTTAAGTGCATTGATTCCACCCCACGCTTACCTAATGCCATAACCAATTTGTCTCTGCCCGCCCCACCTGCCTTTATTCTGTGTTAATTGGAAAGCCAGTTATACTGAGCGCATTGAATGTTTTATGTTTTGTTTTCTTGTAAGGTACAGTGGTCCCATCTGGCATCTCTCAAGAACAATGTTTCCCCTGTCTCGCGATCCCATTCCTTCAGTGACCCTTCTCCCAAATTTGCTCATCACCATCTTCGTTCCCAGGACCCATATCCACCTTCACGCAGTGAAGTGCTAAGTCAGAGTTCTGACTCTAAGTCGGAGGTACCCGACCCCACCCAAAAGGCTTGGGCTAGATCAGACAGTGACGAGGTGCCTCCAAGGGTAAGGAGTAGAAAGACAGATGTGTGCTATTTTTTTTTAATTATTAATTATTATTTTTTTAAGGATGTGATACCCTGGGCACTGGGAAGACCGTGCCTTTGTGCCAGCATTGGTAACAGTATTTTAGAAGGCAGATCATGATGTAGGTGTTCAGTCAATGGGTTAATGATAAGCAACCTTAAGTACAATATTGAAGCTTCATAGAAAATTGGCAATTATTTATAGAATGCAGCTATTTCAGAGGGACAATTTATTATGCAAAGTTAACAAATCATTACCATATTCAGGAAAGAATTTAAAATATCCCTGAGGTTATTGCTCAGAGTTAATTTTCCTCTTCATCTGTTAGCAACCCAAACTATGAATCATACACATATTTAAAATTGAGATGGAACTGAACAAAAAGGAAACATTCAATATACTTCCTCCTCCTCTCCCCCTCCCACCCCCCCACTCCCATCCACTGGGATTTGCTTCTTCTGAGTATATTCTTGCTCCCCCACCAGGCTTTGCCTTCTGCTGATCCATTCCCGAGCATTTGTTTGGTTCCCCTGAGCTTATTCTCCTAATTCTCATGCTGTTTCAGCAAATTGCTTTGTGCCTCCCCTGCTTCAGTCAAAATGCCATATTCTTTTTAAATGTCTCAGTAGTTGGAGTGTAGCGGGGTGTGTATGTGTTGGTGTGGTAACTATTAAACACTAGTTAATGTTAAGACTAAACTTTGAGATCTCTTCAAAATCTGAACAGCATCCCAGCTAAGGCTCTTGGTTTTGTGGGTGTTTATTGCTTTTGGTTGTGGATGCTAGCTTGGACTTAGAATTAAGTGTTGTTAAAATCTTAAGAATATATTGTGTAGCAGGAGAGGTTTAATCTTCCTCTTCTCTCTCTCCTCTTCATGGGTTTAACACAACCTTTTTTCTCTCAAGGTACCTGTGAGAACAACGTCCCGATCACCAGTCCTGTCCCGCCGTGATTCTCCACTGCAGGGTAGTGGGCAGCAAAATAACCAAGCGGGTCAAAGAAACTCCACGAGGTTTGTAAGCCTACATGTCCTCGCCTTTCTTGCATTGGATGGAAAAGGCTCATGGGAAGCCAGACGTTTCCAGAGAGCTTTTGGCATTGTCTGTTGGACGTGAAAGGAGGATGAATTTGGATCCCTTTTCAGTAGTGATTAATATTAATTTCCCTTGGTGTAGCACGTGTGCCAACAAACACTGGCAAAATTTCTTCTTCCCTCTCCTCCTTTGAGTTGCCCGCCCTGTAACTTTTGCAATAATTTCAAAATATCCTTAAGATTACTGAAAAATTGGGGCCATTCATGAACATCTTGCCTTTTGGTGCAATAGGTCATCTTGGGCGTACTGTGGGGATTACTGGCAGCAGAAGTGTTTGTAACATCTAAAGTGATCTCAGAAACTTTCTGGCCTCTCAGCCAGAACCAGACTTTAAGAGGGGGAGAAGCGTCCATGAGCTGTGACACAGAGCATCTGAGGTCAGGAAGGGGCTGCCTCCAGAGCTCAGCAGAGCACTGTGGACAGGCCACCCTGGAATTAGCTCACTGGACAGGGGTGAGGGTATTCTGAGAGGGACAGGCAGTACGGGCTTTTTGGCTTGTGCTGCGGTGGCCAGGGCACTTCCGAGCCAATTTCAAACCTGCTGCATGCAGGCTGAGAGAACTGTCCACTTTAGATTAGATACGTAAGAATGGCAAGTAGCCAGTTCCAAATAAAAAGAATAGCTTACACCCACATAAACTTTTTTTTTTAACCATCCTAAGTAAGGTAATAGGTATTTCAAAGGGAGCCACTGCTTGGGTTGTGAAGCATCACTGATGCCCTCAGCTCAGTGTTAAGTGCTCTTTCAGATGAGTTATTAGCACAACACTGAGGAAGAGTGATGTTTAAGTTTAGAAACGGGAATCTGAAACTGAAGTGCATGACAAAGACTTTCCTCCCTCCCCTGATACAGCAATATAGAGCCTCGTCTGCTGTGGGAAAGGGTGGAGAAGCTCGTACCAAGACCGGGCAGTGGCAGTTCTTCAGGTTCAAGCAACTCCGGCTCACAGCCTGGCTCCCACCCTGGCTCTCAGAGCGGGTCTGGAGAGCGTTTCAGGATGAGATGTAAGTCCTTCCCCCACCCTTTGTAACGTCGTGTTTATAAATTTATTGAGTTGTGCAACACTCAATAATGAAGGATGATAACCCTCACTGGGGAAGACCTTTGAGCATGCAGTACCAAAGATGGGTTAGCTTCCAGTACCCTCCTTGGCTGTATGTCCTTGCTTGGGAAGGACAGTGGGTGCAGAAGTTGTTGTGAAAGTGTTTCAGTGTTCTCTGATTCACGTTCAGTCACTGCTGCATTTTCCCATGTGCAAACAGCCCAGCCTCCATGCTCTCATAGCTCCCTTCCTCCTATGTGCAAGGGCACCTTTTGGTGCTTGTTGCCTATCACCTCGGTGGTTGCTGAAGGGGTGCAGACTTCTACGGATAGGTCTCAGCTGGGGTATGTTGAATGCTGATGCAGGTTTTCCAGCTGGTGGCCACACTCGAGTTACCCTCTTTGATTTACAACTGTGTGACAGTTTACTTTGGCTTCAGTTATGGGTCAGCTGCACCTATACAGATCACAGCTTATGATGTTTTTTTGTATAGTTCTTCAGGGACAATGTAACAGTGAACCAGTGAAACTTATGTCTTGCTGTCAGGCACCGCCTGATAGCCTTCTCACCTCTCTTCTCCACTCCAAAGTGAAGTAAGAAAACATATTTTAGCTCCCTGCTCAATCTGGTTTGTTCTGTGTTCCTTTCGGGGTCTTGACACATGCAGCATCATCCAAATCAGAGGGTTCGCCATCGCAGCGTCATGAAAGTGCACCTAAAAAGCCTGAAGAGAAAAAGGAAGTCTTCAGACCTATCAAGCCTGCTGTAAGTTGCATCCACTTTCCCCTGTCCCCCCTCTCTTTCAGGTAGGCCCACAAAAAGTACAGTGTGAGCTTCCATTCATGATGCCATTGGGGGTGAACTTCAGCTTGAGTTGGAGTTTGTATCTGTGGGCCCAGCAGCATGTCCTAGGCTCTGCAATTGCCTGCACGCATCACAGTACTTTAAACATTAGAATTTGCTCTGCTTCTGGAATTGATTTCTGCTCTCTGGTCTTCTTCCTTCCTAACCTTTGCCTTTCTCCCTTTCAATCCTGTGCTCCCTTCCTGGGGCTGGACCAATGATCATGCATTTGACCTGAATGTGCCAATGCTGGGCTGAATGGTGCAGGGAGAAGTGGTAAGACCTTAAATTGTTGCTATTTTCTGTGAAAGATTTCTGACGTTTTCTTTATCTGACTGCTGTTACGGTTGATTACAGCTCTATGTCCAGTTGTATCTGGGGGATCACAGTGGGCTTTCACAGTATTTCCACTGTCCTTAAAACTTTTTTCTCTTGCCATTATGATACTGCAGTAGCACCCAAATCTGCCAATTAAAGCTGCTTTCTTGAAAGAAACACAGAGGTTGGTCCTTTACTTCTGATAGTGTAACGTGTGAAGTATTTACCATAAACTGTATTGAGCTAAATAAAGCATAGCTGCACAATTGAGAGCAGACTACACTGACTGCAAACCTGGTTTGCCCACACTCCAAGCTGCAGACAGAAAAGCAGCTTATGTCCCATACTGTTTGACAGTCGTGTGCGACTGAGCTGGTGCTAATGGATCTGACTTCTCAGGTGAACTCCATAGCGCGGATCCATGCAACTGAAAATGGATGAAAAGGTTTCAAGGAGATCAGCTCTCTGCAACTGTGCCTTGGGTGGCTCAACAGTCTTAGGATCTTTCTGCTACCTTGCTGCCTAGATTTCTTGTGGATGCTATTAACCTGCAAAGTTTAGGAAAATGAACTGCGACATTCAACCACTGTGTGAGAATGGGTCCGGGCGCTTATATATGTCCTTCAGATGGTATAACGGGATAAACTGAAGTCATAATCGGGATAGTTTGGATTCAGAATATAGACATTTTTCTATAATAAGGCAAGGCCTCCTTAGGTTGAGTCTTTCGGTGCTTTATTTTATCAGAAAGTGAGTTTTGATAACTATTAGGAATGAATAAATCAAAGGAGACAATACTGCTGGGGCTATAGAAACACAGCAGTGGACAAGTGAGCAAACTTGGGCACTAATCCAATGGGGTTGTCTTGCAAACTCTTCTCCTCTCTTCCTTGCAACATCAGTTTTTTCCTCCCTTTCCTACCAGGATTTAACTGCACTGGCAAAGGAATTGCGAGCGGTAGAGGATGTGCGACCTCCACATAAAGTGACGGATTATTCATCCTCAAGTGAGGAGTCAGGGACGACAGATGAGGAAGACGATGATATGGAACAAGAAGCAGCAGATGAATCTACTTCTGGACCAGATGATGTCCGGGCAGTGTTAGTTCTTCTGTGTTTTGCTTCTGTTTTCCCTCTTAGGGGGCTGAAGGAAAAGGACATTGGGTATTTTGGCTTGTATGTTAGTTCTTTCAGCTTACAAAAATCTATGAGCAAGACATAGCAGCCTTGTATGTTCACATTTTCAAACACTGAGGGTAATCTTTTCAAAAAGTAGGCTTCTATAAATTATGTCCTTTCCTTCTTCTCCCTTTGATTTGTTATAAAACAAGAAGCGGTGTTTAACAAACTCCTGACTTTTTTTTTATAGAGGAGCCTTTCTAGGCAGGTTATGTAAATATTCCACTCTGGTCACAATATAAATTAATTTTGAGTGTGTCTTGGTGCGGGGCAGCGAAAGCTAGGGCACAAATGCTGTTATCTCACTCCAGTTATTTCCTGTCTGGCAAATAGGTCAACACTGAACTTGAGCAATGGTGAAACAGAGTCAGTGAAAACCATGATCGTCCATGACGATGTGGAGAGTGAACCTGCCTTGACTCCTTCTAAGGAGGGCACCTTAATTGTCCGACAGGTATTGCTTTTCCTTCCCTGTGCAGTGCTGCACCTTTTCTGTGCTCATTAACCCACTCGCTCATTCACCCATGCTGTTTCTACATTATATTTGTTGTTCGTATTATCAAGACACAGCTGTAGTGAATTTCAGATGAGCAAGATGTTTGATGCATGCAAAGAGGAGAGTAGCCCTTCACCCCTTGCTACTGTTTTGCATGCTTTCCAGTGACACCCATGGCAGCACCATGCAGCATACCTCAAAGTCTGTGGGAGAGAAGGGTAGAAAAGCTGCAGGTGTGTGGAGCGAGTACCTGGAGCAAGAACTTTGTTTAGTTTTATCATAGAACCAAACGTGGCTCTCAGAAGTGGGGCTGGGAGGGAAGCTCGGGGGGGAACATTCAGGGTTTTTAAAAATTGTTTTGAACCTGTAGTTGAGGGCGTGCAGACCACCCAGATAACATACACACACAAATGTACATACAAATTCATGCAACAGTTAGCGTGGGGGAACGGAGAAGCAAAATAGGTGGCGAGGCAGAGAATGTGGACAGAGCTAGAGCGCTGTGTTGTTGCCTTTGATTCCGAAAATATTGCATTCTTGTGCCTCTGAAAGATAATGATTCCCTGCTTTTAAATGAGCTCGTGTGTTAATGAGCGTGCTAGCTTATAGGAGTTTCCTCGGTAATCGCATTTCTGAATTTCTCAACTGAATGCCAATTTCTTAATTGAGCCCTCTGGTTTGAAAATTAAGATTTCATGCTTATTGTTTTAAATAGTTAGCTGAAGGCATTCACCAGACAGTCCAAGCTCATATCTGTATAGGATTTAAGTTAGTTTTAAAAGAAACAATAGGGGAAGAAATCCTCCACCCACCCCCAAAAAATGTGCTTGTCCGCGTTGTGGTGGAAGACTTACCGGCGCAGTTACTCTTCTGTTAATTAGTGGAACTGGCTGTGCAAGTCAACCACACGAACTAAGCTTTTGCTTGCCAGAAGAGGTGGGAATTTGCTGAATTCTAGTAGCTCTGCCCACTTTCCCTTTTCATCCAGGCATCAAGGCATGGATTATCAGCTTATTTTTTTAAATAAATAAATGTAAAAAGGTAGGAAGCGAGCGAGGGAGAGAAGGAGAGAGGTTGTTAGGGATATAGACCTTTAAGCAGCACTTGAGCAAGACAAGTGTGCCTGTTTTTTCTACAGAGTACAGTTGACAAAAAGCGTGCCAGCCATCATGAGAGCAATGGCTTTGCCGGTCGCATTCACCTCTTGCCAGATCTCTTACAGCAAAGCCATTCCTCCTCCACTTCCTCCACCTCCTCCTCCCCATCCTCCAGCCAGCCGACACCCACCATGTCCCCACAGACACCCCAGGACAAGCTAACTACTAATGAGGTATGTCTTACACCACAGCTGGCTGCTTTCGTAGGGTTATAGCAGCATTGCCTAGTAGCTAGTTTGCAAAGGAACTCCAGCCAATCTCCCCTGCTACTTTTTTCTGTCACCTTTGTTCCCACCCCCCAAATAACACATTTCAGTTCTGTGTAAGAAGCCCCTAACTCTAGAACAGTCCCACGCCAAACTTGCCAGTTTACTATTTTTGCTTCCTCTTAGTGAGTCGTTAATTGCATGGCGTTCATTTTAAACTAAACTTGACTACTGCATTTTCAAGCCAATACTCTTTTATTTTTTAATTCTGTTTTATTCCGGGAGCAGGCTAATTGCAAGCAGTGTGCCTCTTAAAAATTAGCGGTTAATTTTGGCTTTGTCCGTAAAGGCTGGGCTAGTAACTCCGCACATATGAGGAGGTGCTTGTGGAAACTCACCCTTTGGGAGAGGAAGCGGCAGCAGCCATGGAGGGATCTTACTCTTAAAAGCTTGCCACGTGGGCTGGGTGAACAAATCAGGTGTTGCCTGGGAGGGTTGTAAAAGCCTGGGGTATTGTTGTTTTGGAATAACGAATGGGGGAAAATCTTTGGGTTTCTTCCAAGTATGTGTGTACTCTGAAAAGCAGCTGTGTAAAGGTGACTGTTCTCCACCAGTGCTGGTTGTGTCCAGGTGGAGAAGCAAGGCTTTGCCGCGGGGGAAGCTCCCTCTTGCTGTCCTGGGCTGATCCTGGGACAGTGCCTTCCCTTACTCACCAAGCGCTGGTGGACAAGCCCGGTCCTTCACGTGTGTGTAACCCCTCGCCACAGAGGAGATGCACACGTGTGAACTGAGGGCATCATTCGCCCCTTACCAACCCTAGCAGTAAGCGAGGAACCCGGTGTGGTGGCTCCACTCCCGGCTGGTTGGCCAGCCTGGCTCTCGGGGAGAGCCTCTTTCCGTATGCAAGCAGGAGTGGTACAGGGAGAGCAAAACTCGGTGAAAAGAAGCTGCTGCTTCTCAGAGTAGAGCCGTCCTGCCATGTAGGCATGCAAGTGGTGTGGCGAGGAGAGGTTGTGGTGAGCTGGGTAGGCTGATGGCAATACACATGTTTACCACAGGATCAAAAATGCTTCTGAACCACGTAGCAGGAGGGTACGTGGGAGGGTTTCCTCCTGGAAATTCGGTTAGCATAATACTTAATTTTCAGCTATGCTTCATTGGTCTTTGATCTTTCTAAAAGCACACTCTTGTAGGTTATAGAGATCAGCTGAGCGATCCAGAGATATGCTTGCTCATTACTTTGATCTAAGCAATAAATAAGCAGGGTTCAGCTAACTCAGCTTGGGAAGTGGAGGCTTTGGCAGTGGCTGGTGGCAAAGGAGCCTTTCGGTATTGAGCTGTGCAGAGGAGTGATACACTCCTAAGACTCATTGCTATTTTTTCTGCAGAGAGTAGAGGCTTAGAAAGATCAGAGGTTGAAGATTAGCTGCTGATAAAGAAGTGTCTGTAACTACGTTTGCATAAAGCTGAGCAAAAACCCAGTACTGCTTGGTATAACTTACCCACATGCACGCCCTTTATATATATACTTTTTTTTTTTCCACTTGTCCCATTCTGCTTCGGTATGCAATGTTGTCACTATAATACTAAACTGGCAAGGGTTTTTAAGTCATTCCATTTCCACTTTTAACCGTTCATTGTTTCACTTGTCTTCTTTCTTTATGTTTTTTCATGTTTAGACCACATAACTCAGCAAGCACCAGTGATTTTATCCACTACATATTCATAGCTTCATATCACCGTTTGCTACACCTTCCACACTAATGAGCCCCTTTGTTCGATACAGGTTTAATATGTTGCTTTGTCAAATAAAGGTGGAAGAACCTGCTGCAGCTTTCTGGCAAGAGGCTCAGGTTAAACAAAATAGGGAGAACGAACAGTAGTGGACACTGAAACATAATCCATCGTAGAAGTGAACGCTCGATCCCAGATGGTTCTGATTTTGTTGCACAAGCCAAGAGATCAAACTTCATAATTTATTAAACTAGCTCACTTTAGGAGATGCTTCATAAATTCGAAAGTTGTAGGTAGTGGACAGCTTGCAGATAAGATAGTATACATACATTTAAGCAGATTTTTAAAAAAAGAGACATTCCCTCACTTTGTGCCTGATTGTAGTGGCCAGTCCTAAAAGTCTTCTCTAGCAGCTGAGGTGACAGGGACAACAATTTAGCTAATTACATTTCGCTGTAACATGTGCAGTGTGCATATGTATCTAGTTCAGGTGAGGTGCCTGCAGTGCGTTGTGTATCTGTAAAGGAAGTATAAAAGCTTGGGGAGGCTCTGTAGCATAATTATGTAGTGACTTAAAAATGTTGGTTGTTGTTATCTGTGCTTTTTATTGTCATTAATATTAATAAAGTTGAAATTTACATTGCAGACTCAGTCCGCTAGTAACACACTCCAGAAACACAAATCTTCCTCCTCCTTTACACCTTTTATAGACCCCAGATTACTACAGATTTCTCCATCTAGTGGGACAACTGTGACTTCTGTGGGTAAGTAAAGTAGCTGAAGATGACAATTGAAAAAGGGTTCAGTGACTTCAGTGGCTCTTTAAAGTACTTACAAATGTTACCATCATGCTTTTTATTTGATTTGCAATGGATTGCATAGTTTATTTCTTTTTCCATTTACATTTCTTACAAAAACAAAGACTTGCTCAATATTCTCAGTTACTGATTTGGGTTGTTTGGTGTAAAGAAAATATGGCCAGAATTTAGCATGTAAGGGTTATTACATGCACTTTACTTTTCTTTTTTTCAGTAGGATTTTCTAGTGAAGCAATGAGATCAGAGGCAATAAGGCAAGACCCTACACGGAAAGGATCGGTTGTCAACGTGAATCCCACGAATACGCGGCCACAGAGTGATACCCCAGAGATTCGCAAATACAAGAAGAGATTCAATTCTGAGATACTGTGTGCTGCCTTATGGGGTAATGCAAACCTGTTCCTCCCTTGCCTCCTGCACTTCTGAAGTGCAGATGTGCCAGTGTGAGCTTACAGTCTTGGAGAACGTATCTCTGAAACCTTAGCTGTTTCTCTGTATTTATTCAATGCTTGTTTACATCTTTTTGTTGCAAGAGCTGATTATTTTTATGCTGCTTATGCTTTGATATAATTTCCCACTGCTGTATATGTGCTTCTGATGGCGCAGTTCAGACTTCGTTCAGCTGATCGGGATGTTCTTTTCTCTCCAGCTCCCGTTAGTGCATCTCTTGCAACGTTTGGGAACTTGTGGTCATCTTTGCATTGTACACCTGGTGCACGTAGGGTATTCCATTTGAAAAATAATCATCTTCTTGAGCCTCTCGCTAATGTGTTGTTGCAGAGCTTGATTAAGATGTGTTTCGTAAGATGACTTTCCACCTCAGTCATCAGTTTATGTAGGAAGGAAGAGGGAAAAGAGAAGGGTAGGAAGGACATTTTCCAGTGTGAGACTGTGGCTTGGTTTCTTTAAGAGTAGTTAGTGCAGAGAGAAGCTGGGCATGGGATGTCAGCTTACCAAGTGTATCTGGCCTTCTTGTCACAAGGGATCATTTACGTCGGTGTCAGACATTTAGTCAGGATCCTACACTGGTGAAACGCTTAGAGCAGTGCTTGTTGCCTGCTACAATGTGGAATCGCTGCTGCAACACCCAGCGAAAGCTTTTCTCTGCCGTGTCATTTCTTTTGTGGCCAGAGTCTATGGGGCCATCTGAATTTTTTCATTATCTAGATGTTAATAGATGATGCTTGTGTATATTACGTACATATTTATCTAGTATCCCTAAACTTAACAGACATGCACATGCATGTCATTTTAAAAACTATGAAGAAAAGAGTTGGCTATTCCCCTGAGTCACATGATGATTGTATAGGTAACACAGTGTACTTTTCTTGTTTACATCTTCACAGCTCTTTCCAAGGCTGTAGTTCTCTTTTGGGGTTATTTCCACCATTTCTTGTTTCTCAGAACAGCACTGTTGTCCTATCCTTCTTGCCTGCAAAGCCATGTCAATTAAATAGCTCTCCTGACACCTTATCTTCCTATCTGCTGTTTTCTTTATTTCCAGAATTTTCTGGTAAGAATTTTTACCCCAGTGCTATTTCTGCATGTATTCTTATGAATAATTCTCTGATAAAATGAAGACTTGTGCAAATGTAAACTTTCAGGCTGTGAGAGGGCGAAGGCAGAGAGAAATCGTATGGGATCAGTAAAGATGACTCATAATTTCTCTGATCTGCCTTGTTTTGCCAGTAGCAATTTGTGTTAATGGCTTTATATTTCTTTGATCTATGTATCTGACTGTTATGGTGATTTAAAGTATAGGTGTAAAATCCTAGAGGTGTTTTACAGCTGTAACAAAGCACTTCGTTGTTGAACATTTAGGGCCAAACTGATGGTGATGCAAGCTGGTACACATGCTTATTTCTTGATAAGGTTCAGCTTCCTTTACCCTCAAGCAAATGAAGCTATTTCATGGTGATGTTTCTTATTCAAAAAGAGAGGGGCTTGCTTTGCTTTGTTTTGCTTTGCCTTTATCAGTGGTAATGCCATAGTATCTGGCAGGTTGTTGATTGCATTAGGTCTATGATGCCGTTTCTTCTGGTTCTGAGTGGTGAAAGTCAATGTTAATGACATGGATGCAGTAGCATAGATTTTTACACCCAGTCTCCACAGAGAGCCTGTACTTTTTCAGGAACCATTTCCATTTGTTTGAGAAATCAGAACTGCTTGATTGTAGGGTGATGGTAGAAGAGCTCTGCTGGCTGTGAATACAGACAGTGCCTGCACTTTAAAATACAGGCACTGCTTGCCACCAGCTAGTACTTCGTTAGTTTCATCTCAAAATGCATATAGCTAAGGGAAGGGGTCGGGGACAGATGCGCATGTAAACTTGAAGCAGAAACAACTGCACCACAAAGGCAGCGGAGGGAGAGATGAAGGTGGAGGCGGGAGTGATTGAGCCCTGATGCGCAAAGAGGGGAAGGGACCCTGAGGGAGCAGTTTGCATGTGGCTTGCTTTGAATTGTAATCCATGCTGGAAAAAATACAAAAATATGTGTCGAAGCTGAATCACTTACAGCTTTAGTCAGTGGGTCCTGGAGCTGCAGGAAGGAGACTGACTGCTGGGCGTTTCCTTGGCTGGTTTGGTGCTGCTGCAGCCTGTGCTGAGCCCTGACTCAGTGTGTGCCTCGCTCTCCCTGCTTCCTTCCGCCGCTTCCCAGTTTGAGGATGTCTCCCAGTATGGGAGACGGTTGATGTGAAATGCCCCCGGGGGCTGTAGGCTGTGGGATGAGAGCCAGCAAGTGCAGACCCATGTGGGAGATGCAGAGACAGGAGGAGGGCAGGAAGGGGATGGAGGCAGCAGCAGCTGAAGGAGAGCCCAGGAGGGCTGCGGGCTCTCTCCTAGGATGGGCTCTGCGCCTGCCAGGGTCCATGGGCTCTCCTGCCTGGAGGAGGCAGAGGAGTAGCAGAGCAGCAAATCTGAGCAAAGAGAGGAGATGGTTTGTGGGGACTGCTGGGATGTCTGAAGTTTCCTTACTGAAAAGGCAAGAGAGAGGAAAATGGAGATGCATGATGGTTTCTGACCTCTCCATGGGCTACATCTGTTTTTCTCATCCAGCCAGAGGCTTTTCGGAGTGCCCCAGCACCTGCAGCTCAGGCCCCTTCCCCATCGTTACCTCCTCCTGGCTGCAGCTCTGCTCCCCTCTAACACCCTGTCCCCTTTGGGAGACACCTTGTGCCCTCTGGGTCAGGGTGAACATGCTCTCCTTTTTGCAAACCGCTCCCGTATCTGGTAGCCAGGTTGTTGTTTAGGTAGCGTTCCTCGTCCTTGCGAGCAATGCCCTTTTTCAATACTGTGAGAAGGCATGTCACTGCTATAGGTGCAGACCGCACCAAGATACAGACTCCTGTGTATTGGGCCCACATACTGCATTAGAAAAGGTTCGTTACGGGATCAGCCTGGATGATACATCCACTGGCACCAGTATAGTTATATCTGGGGATTAATTGTCTGACCTAGGGATTAAGGCTGTTAAGCAATATAACTATGACCACCTTGTGTGAGTTTCGCTTTTCTTATTTCATTACTTTTATTATGCTTAAGGATGACAAGTTTTACATTGGGATTGCAACACAGAAGTCTAATAAAGTGAGTCATGCATTTGGTTTGATTTCCATTCCCTGTACTGTATCTGACCTGTCTCTGCACAATTTGTGGGGTCCTAGACTGAAACACTATTGCAAATAAATAGTCATGAAATTTAAGAGTGATAATATATTAACAGATTTTTAAAACCTAGTCTCATATATATATATATATTTTTCTAAAAAAAGGTAATTGATTTTAAATACTGAGGTTTTGTGGACTCTTGGAAAATGTTCCAGTGGGTGTGTGGACCTTTGTAGAAAGAAACTGGCCTACTGACTTTTCTCATCTATATTTGCTTGATCTTTAGGAGAAATCTGTGGAAACACAAGATTACTATAATTCCTCTAGTTTTAACATTCAGATGGAACAGATTGTTGGGAAGCTGAGGACCAACCCTGTGCCTGTCCTTTTACAGGAGGGCTGCACCACAATCTGTTTCTCCCAGGGAGGACCAAGCCCCTACCACTGCTTTTTTGCAATGTCCTTGTCAAGAGCATCCTGTTACCAACCCCCCTACCAACAGCTAGTACATCTTTGGAATACATAAGCTTGGGTACCACTTTATGCCTCACTCCTCCTCCATTAGCGTGCCTTTTTGTTTGGGAAATGGTGCTCTAGAAAGATCTCCATGGTCTACCAGTCTCTCACTCTCTTGAACACTGCAATTTGGTGTCAGTAGTGACTGTGGGCAGGTAATGTAGACAGCCTCTACATCATGAGATCTTTTAGGTTGCAGGCAGCTGAGACCCAACCAGCAGTGGTTAGACCCGCTTGAAACAAGGCAGTTGCTATATCAAGCGTCAGTTCATCAGAATATGTGGAAAATCTGCCTACTAACTTGGATCTCTGTTTTTGTTTCTTCTAGGAGTGAACTTGTTAGTGGGCACTGAAAGTGGTCTGATGCTGCTAGACAGAAGTGGTCAGGGGAAGGTTTATCCGCTCATCAATCGAAGACGATTCCAGCAAATGGATGTACTTGAAGGGCTGAATGTCTTGGTGACGATTTCTGGTAAAGTTAACTTTTCAACATGATTTTTCCCCCCTTCTGGCATGGCATGGCAGAACGCTTTTCTTGGCAGCCTGTGTGTTGAGGGGGAAGTCTTGACTTGACTGAAGTCAGTGGGTTTTCCATCATTTCACCTCTTTTGAGTCTACAGTTTGTTTCTGCAAAGTGAATCACTTTCCACACAACACTCTGTGCCTGCTCGCCCCCTGTCCTTCCTCCTGTGGGGTGACCTTTAAAAATGCTGCATCGGTTTGGGGGAAACGTCTGGCTTTGTTTGTTCAGTGTTTGGGAGCTGTAAGTTAATGTTTTGTGAAGTTTATAAAAATGACATTCTTTCCCTCTGTCATGATTACTTTCAACCTGGCCTCTTTCTAAGCAGAACATGATTTGCTACTTAGGTTTAAAGACATCTTGTGTGTTAAAATCTGTAGAATGGGAAATGCTCTTGTGAAGTAGGGAAGTAAGAGTGATGTGCAGTGAGTGTGTGTGTGCGTTTGCGAGAGAGGGGAGTACAATTGTACGTGATGTGGAAATTACCAGTGTGAGAAGTCAGATCGGTGCAGCTTTTGGCCTTGTCTCTCACTGGATGCAACTGCAGACGGCAAAGCAACGGGAGATAAAGGGTGGTGGTGATTGTTGTGTTTGTTTTGTGTGTGCCGATGAAAAATGTGTTTTATGAAGCTTGAGGTTCCAGACTCTCTGGCTCCAGAGAGTTATTGCATAAGGTTATCCTGCTGTTAAGCAACTTGATGTGGTGCACTGTTAATCTTTCTTCACAGGTGTCGTTCAGCCATTTACCTTTCCTTTTGTTGTAGTTTGTTTGTGAAATCAGCCTTTGGTGCACTGTGCATGTGTGACAGGAAGAGGATGTTAAATCAGGTTTTGCACAGTGGCCCCTGTGTTGTTGTTCAGAGTCACCCAAAATTTTGCTGAGGCTCCAGTGCCCCTCTGACTCCACTGGAGGAGCTCTCTGGCTCTCCCAACACTTGTGCAAAAGGACACACAGCTAGACAATTTAATACAATTTAATGCATTAGAGGTGTTATACTACTACAGGTCCAAAGAACCATGCCCATGCTGGTGTCATCAACATGGGACTTTGCTTCTGTCTAGAACAGCCGTTTTTTATTGGCTTGTTGCTTGCTGCGTTCTCAGCTACAGCTATGCTGTGAAATCTTTAAAAAGGAAAGATGAATCAAGGAGGGTTTAAAAAAACCACAACCTGCTGTGTGTCCTTTTGATGTCTAACTCTGTACGTTAAAATGTAAGCTGTTTGAAAAGTACCATTTGATAGAGTTTATTCTATAGTAGACCTTATAAACAAAAATGTTATATAATCCAACTTGTGTAAAATCTGTTGGTTTGAAGCATATCCTACACAGATGACAAGTGTCTGTGATTCAGTCTTGTGTGTAATTGTTTTAGGTTTATTTACGTTTACGTCAGTCACGATCTGAGTACCCTGACAAATCCGTTTTCTTTGTTTCCTTCAAAACTATTGCTTCCTCTGTGGAGACATGCTACGTTAACCCTTAAGAAATTGGCTGATCTTTGGCTGGTTTGTGCCTTCATTTCTGTCCCCTCTCCTGCATTTTATGGGAGGTTACTGGAGTACGAGGCTGGAAAGAGGCATCCCTGCCCACCAAGAGGCAGGACGGGGGGAGCACACCTGGTGCAAACGTGATGCTTTTATACTCAGGCCCCCCTTACCTTCCTGTTCTGGCTTCTGCGCTTCAATGCTCAATTTAAGCTACCCTCGTGCTGGACTTCTCTTAATGTCTTTATATTTATAGTGAGTTGCTTCACCTCTCCAGGCAAACTGGGAACACTGACATGGGGATGTGTTTCCGCAAATGGTGCGTTTTCGCAGCTTGGTTACGGAACTGCCTCCGAGCTTTGTCCCAGGACTGCTACTGCTCTGCTGAGAGCATTGTTCAGCTCCCTACGGCGCTCTCGGCCGTATGTTCCCTTGGCTTTTTTGGGAAGTGATGTGCTGACGATGGCGAGGTTTGAAAAGTGTCACCACATTGTGCAAAGAAGTTGCAGTGTGTTAGGATTTCGGGGGCATTGTCACCTAAAATTGCTTTTAATATACAGTCTTCTGAGTCTGGAAACCTGAAATCAATTCTTCCCCAATGTGTATCTCAAATATAAAACTTATTGACAACAAAGCTTTTGATACTGAGATACTGAGCTGCTACAGCTGGTACAAGAAAGCTTTGCGGATCAAAGCAGAGCAGTTAATCGGTTCTTCAGTTCATACTATTGGGAGGCAAAAGCACAGTCTCGGCTGCTCAGGTTATACAATGCTGAGAGTCATAAAAACGCTGGAAGAGAGAGCAATGACGTGCATACAGAACATGCTCTGCTTGTCGCTTCCTGAGGGTTTTGCCAGCCCAACTGGCTGATGGTGGTACTTGGGAAGGTAGGAAGGAATGACAGAGTAGAAGAACTGGTTGGAATCTGCCTGCTTAATAATTAAAAACCACAGTGACAATAAAAATAAAAACTCAATTTAGGAAAAGGGACTTTGCATTTGAAACGGCGTCTGTGGGAGAGCCAGAGCTGGGAGTTCTCACAGAAGTCACTGGCTGATCAGTTCATTTGATGGCTGGAGCGGAGTTTTCTTTCTTATTTCATGGCCAGAACAGTTAGACACAGAGTCATAAAAACGCTGGAAGAGAGAGCAATGACGTGCATACAGAACATGCTCTGCTTGTCGCTTCCTGAGGGTTTTGCCAGCCCAACTGGCTGATGGTGGTACTTGGGAAGGTAGGAAGGAATGACAGAGTAGAAGAACTGGTTGGAATCCTGCTGATTAATAATTAAAAACCACAGTGACAAAAATAAAAACTCAATTTAGGAAAAGGGACTTTGCATTTGAAACGGCGTCTGTGGGAGAGCCGAGCTGGGAGG